AGTGGCAGAGCAGACATCCTGGTCCCTGACCAGCCACCTGCTGAAAGCAGCATCTAGATAATTCCAGAGAAGCAGCTCTAGGAGATAGCTCTGCCTTCTTTAGAAAAAAAATGTACATTTTCTCCAACACTTGTAAGTAGGACATTATTATTCATACCCAACCAAAGTCCAACTACAGATTTAGCAATTTCTCTTAAACCAACTTGGATGGAAACTCAAAATTTCCAAGGGAATTGTAAATGATAATCCCAACCACACAGATCAAACTGCTGCTAGCATTAAGACAAAAAAGAAAAGTCTCTTCCAAAAACTCTTTGTACTTCATTGCCATGAACCCAGGAAGTGGCTGCCAGGTGACAACCCCCCCACAGCAACAGCAGCTGCAACCCTCTTCTGGAGACAATGCTGACTTTATTGCCAGTGCCTCAAAGCAGTGAAAGTCAGTGGATGAGACAGAGAGGAAATACAGACCGGGGAAACAAATTGCCTTCATGAAAATTATTTATCTAACATCCCCCTCCCTTTGGAGGGGGACAGAATTGGCTGTGTATACAAAACCTGGAGACTTTTTAAAGCTATTGTTTAGCTAACAGCTTCTGACATCAGCCCCAGAGGTGCTGGATCACTTTCTTGATGTAAAACTTGTCAAGGAGACCGCAAGGTGATGTTAATAACAGCTGTCAACCCACAGAGAGGTAATTATAAAGCCATGATTAAAACAAAACAAAACCTTCAAAGTTATAGCCTTCTTCAATGAAAGGCCAGGAGACAGGATACAGAAAGCCAGGACACCCCCCTGAATAAGCCCCAGGAATAATGACCCAACATGTGGTCATGGTCCTGACCTAGAAACACCCACCTAGTGAGCACCACCCCTGGGCAGGGATGCTGTCCTGCCTGGAACCCCATGGGGAGCAGGCTCTAGCGTGCTCCTCCTCAAACCTGCTTTTTCTTAGGAATCACCAGTGGGATTTTCAGCTGGAAAGCAGCTCTGTTGTCCTGCAAACTCATCTGCCTCCAGCTGCAAAGATCAAAATCAGATGAGGGGAGGGAAAAGAACAACCCACAGGGAGAAGCACATCCAGGTCTCCTTCTCCACAGGAGGGATAGGAGTAGGAAAAGCCAAGGGTGCCTTGCAGGGGCTGTCAAGCAGGTCCAAAGGGCAGGCAACTGGAAAAATGGCAGTCCCACCCCCTCAAAAGGTGGGGAAAAGCCCTACCTTCCTAGTAGAGAGGGCAGGACAGGCCCATTCTTCAAGCCACGCCCTGCAAGCATTCAGTGGGTCTTGGGGAGCCCCAACACATTTTCTCTTCTTCCAACTCCAAGGGCAGAAGAGCTCCCACCAAACCCTGATCACTAGCTGATCCTAAAGCATGATCCTCAAACATCATAGCCAAAATTTATCAAGTGCTCCCTGTGCTCCTGGCCTTGTGCCAAGTAATTTACAAGAACTAGTAATCTTCACAGCAGCCAGGTTAAGGTGGGCGTTGTTACACCTGCACCATACACGCACACACATGCACACACACACACACACACACACACACATACACATACACATACACACACACACCTATACACACACACACACCCATACACACACACACACACCCATACACACACATACACACACACACATACACACACACCTATACACACACATACACACCCACACCTATACACACACATACACACACACACCCATACACACACATACACACAAACACACACACACATACATACATACATACACACATACACACACATACACACACACACATACATACATACACACATACACACACCCATACACACACACACTCACACACCCATACACACACATACACACACACACCCATACACACATACACACACCTATACACACACACACCTACACACACACTCACACACCCACACACTCACTCCACACCCCCCCACACACACCCACATGTATACACACACACATACACTCATGCACACACACATACATACATACACACACATACATAAACACACACACACACTCACTAAATTTAAAAAGAAAGTGAAGATCAGAGAGGTTGACAAAAGGATCCAAAACTATAGGCCAGCAAACTACACTACCTGGACTTGAGCCCAGGACTTGACGCCAGTACCTGCACTCAGTCTCTCTTTTCAACCCCAGTACACCGCAGGGGAGCTGGCAGACCTGGAGCCACAGAGCTAAAGCCATTACCACTTTTCTACATCACAATTCTACTGTGGTTTCTGAATTAGAGCACGGATTAGGGTCACTTGAAGAGGAGGAGAAAGAGGGAGAATGAGGGAGAGAAGAAAAAGAAAAGGAAGAAGAGGAAGGAAGAAGAAAAGGAGAAGGAAATGAAAAGAAAAAAGGCAGGTGGGAACGGAAGGAGGGGAGGAAGGAGGGCAAAGAGGAGGAAATGAATGAAGAGAAGGAGGAAAAGAAGATAAGGAGGCAAAAAGAAGGAGAAGAAGAGGAAGAGGAGGAATAGAAGGAAGGCAGGAGGGAAGGGAAAGGAACAGAAGAAGGAAGAAAGGAAGGAGGGAGAGAGAAAAGAAAAGGGAGAGAGGGAGGGAGGGAGGTTCTTGGGCCCCACCCCAAATCAACTGAATTAAAACCATGGAGAAAGGGCCCAGGTGTCATAATTCTTTAAATCTTCTAGATGATTTTGTAGCACAGTATGAGTAGAGACTCATTCACTATCCCAGAAGGTAGAAAATGAAAAAAAATAAACAAAATTAAGAGGTAGGGCCTGAAGGCCAAATTTCCTAAAATCTCAAAATTTCCACAACATGAAAGGAAGTCCTGGCAGTTATAGTTCTCAGACAAGTCCTCTGGTTCATTATTCTTTTTTTTTTAATTTTTATTATTCATATGTGCATACAAGGCTTGGGTCATTTCTCCCCTCTGGTTCATTATTCTTACACTGAAGAGAGAGAGGGAGGGAGAGACTTGCCACAACCAGCACCCATGTTCCCACCCTCGGGAGCATCTCATGTAGGTAGAGTTTGTGGCCCACACATAGCCAAGCAAAGACTGGGTTGGGCCCAGCTCCAACCCACCCTGGCCCTCATTCCCCATGACTGGCCTTCCCACTAGGTCCTTGCAGGTATTCCCAACAGGTGCAGGACGAGGTTACTAAAGAGCTGTCCTCCCTTTGGTTTAGAACCAATGGTGTAGGGAAGTCTTTGAGGATGAATTTCCCAAGGCATGCCAGAACTACCCAGGCCTTCCCCAGCCCCATGATGCAAGGGGTATGGCTATCAGAGCCCTTTAGCTTCCTGGCAATAAATTAAAACCTGAAATAAGGAAGGAAAACAGAACAGTGCTAAGATTTATTTTTTTGTTTTTCTACCATCTTCAGTTCTTTTCCACATCTCTATCCATGAAGGTGGGTACAGAACCCCGGAGACAGGAAACTTCAGGTTTAAGGTGGGTGTGGAAGACAGTAAGACAGAGAGTTGAGTTTAATGTCTGCCTTCAAAAATCTTTGTCAGACTCTGTCCCTGGGCTCTTACTGCCCTAAAAAATCCTGAAGTATTTTGATCTTTAATCTTGTCAAGCAGAAAATTCAGGTCTCCTAGCCAAGTCAAAAAAGCTTGTTCAGACAATAAGCAAACACAATTAAATTGAATAAAAATTTTAAAACATCTAAAATCTGTCTTGGATATCTTTGGATGACCACCTGTCTAGCAGGCCTTTAACCTGACACAAAGAGCAAGGTGGTGCTGGGGTCACAATTAGGTGAACAGTAGCTCACGCTGGGGCTGGAAATTACCCAAACTCACACTTGAGTGGCCTAGTAAAAGCCTGGCCACAGCCAACATCTAAGCAACCCTACCTCAGCTGTAGGCTAGGGAGGGGGCAGCTTAGGTTCCCTGGCACGAAATCTCCCAGGGCCAGGCTCCCAAGGAGGGCTCAGAACAGTGATGTGCAGCTGATGTCACACTTGGGGGACAAGAAACAGTGGACAGGGATTCCACTGCTGAGGCCTGCCTGCTGGCATGGTGCTGGGCCAGCATCAAAACTGTCGTCTAGATCTGTCCCTGACTGTTGCTGTGATTGAGTCCTTAGCCAGCACTGAAATGTTACCCCTTCAGCCTTCACCTTACCAGGGTTACCCCACTCATGAGTCTGAGTAATGACCTGAGCTCTAATTCTTCCTGGTCACACCATTCTTAGCCCGGAACAGGGCCCAGCCAAGGCACAGCCTCCTCTACTATGTCCAAAGCCTGATCTGCGATATCTACCTCCCCCTACCAGAACCCATTCATGGGCTTCTTCACCAGTTACCAACACATGTCCCTGGTCCTCACGCCCTGGCCCGTGCTGTGCCCAGCACACCTCCCCCAGTAATGTGATTCAGCCCAGCTGCAGTACCCTGTGCAAACTCAGAAATTCCCCACGACTGTGCAATGGGTGGTGCTTGTCTCTACAACGCTTGTCTCTCCAAGTATTTCCATGTGGTGTTTCAAGCATGTAGCATCATCTAGTCCTCGTCAGAACAAGTCGAATGGGCCTTTACTGCTATAGATACTCAATTTCCCCTGCCTTTTCACAACCAGAAGGTCTCCTAGGACCAACACCATCACTACATGGAAGATTTCACAGGGCAGAAGCATGGTAGGCCTGCAGATGTTTGTTGCACTCACCTCTAATCAGGGCAATAACAAATGGACCAGACTTGAGGAACCACTTCAGGGGGCTCTGGGTCTCAGGAGTGCTTGTCCAGCCGCTCACAGTCACACCTAGGTCTACCCCTAAGTGGACTGCAATGTGTGGGTCAGTGCTACTTTTTCCTCCCTAGCCCTTCATCTCATTTGCAAGTGGCTTTGCTGTTTTTTCATTTTGTTTGTTTCATAAACCTATCTACCAGAGAATTCTATGAAGTTAAAAAAGTACAAGATAAGAAAACCTTAGAAAAATAAGTAATTCTTTTATTGCTACTTCAAAATATACTATATACATTAGGAACTCTAAGGGAAAGAATAGACCAGGAGATTATTCCATCAAAAAAATAAGATAAAAATAACTGCCCACTTCAGATCCATCTTTAATCCAGCGGAAAGGGACATGAGCAGCCAGTCATCTTGCTGTCAGGTGGCATTTGTCAGTGACCTTGTGGCTGCTACCCAGGGACTCTGTGTCTAAGAGTTCCTGGAGCGTTTTGAGAACTTGCTTTGGCTGGCTGGCGGCAAAGTCCTGCAGGCGGGAGCCCATTTGCTTCTGGAGGCTCCTGGATAGCTGGCATACCACCATTCGGACGTTCCCACCCCGCCCAGGCAGGATGCCATTCCCAGTCATGTTGTTCAAGAAGTACCAGAGGACAGGAAGGACATGCCGCTCCACTGCCTGAGGCTTTCGGGGGTAAACTGAAGCCACCAACACTGTCAGGAAGAAAAGAGGGAAGGTCACTTGAGCCAGGCACTCTCTTTTCTCCTACTGCCCTCACTTTGGACACTAACACTGTCCTCCAAAGGGCAGCAGCCCAACAGGGCTGATCTCTCCCATAGGCACATTGCCCAAGGATCTTGACACACATTTTAACTTCTTTTAACACCAGTTGAAAACAGATGAATAAATCCATGCATGAATATATGACTTTATACTATAGTTGTATCAGCTTGTCGTAGAATATATTTCTCATGGAAGAAGGAGTACACAAAGGCAAAAGTGCAGAAGGTCCATGACAATCCTAGTGTGTCCTTACAGCCCAGGTTACAGTCCTGCCTCTACTGTCTACTAGCTGTGCAAGCTGAGAAAGACACCCAATCTTTCTAAGGCTTTCTAAGCCTGCAAAGTAAGAACAGTAATCCTGAACCAAGTTTTCAAGGTTGTTAAGAGTCAATAATAAATATATGTCTAGGGTCTGCCTTTAGGAAGGCAGGTGACAAATAGTAGCTAGAATTAGCATGAATCCACATTACCACCTAGGAAAGCCTACATGAACACAGAGGAAGTGTACCAGGGGGAGAAGACTCTCAAATGAAGCATTCTGGCAGATAAAACAGAAGGAGACAAGACTAGCATAGCCTCCCCAGTGCCCGGATGCCAAACCTCAAGTGCAGGATGAACATGTTTGTAAACCATCTGGTACGCTCCATTCCAGTGATGAACTCCTAAATCTGGTTATCCAAGTCCTCCCGCCCCACAACCCTCTAAACCCAAGAACACCCAGGAGCCAGCTGAATCTGCAGTCAGCCCTCTATCACCAAAGTGCCAGGATTGCAGCCAATGCAAAAACACATCGAGGGTTGATCCAGGCCACCATGGAGGGCTGCTCTGGCCTTTGGCTGTGGTTGAGTTACCCTAAGTGCATCAGTGCTAACACTGCTTGTTTGACATGTAGCCCGCTCTGCCTCACATCCTGCCAAAGGACAAGTGCTGGCAAAAGCAAACAACTCTGAGAGCAGTGCTTCCTTGATTTATGGGACCAAGAGACTGGAAAGTTCCATGGGCCTGGCCATGTCCCAGAAACGGCTTGCGTCCGGGACTTGGAACTTCAAAGTGTGGTTCCATTTCATGATCAAAGCACACTAAAAAGAAGGATATGTATCCATTTTTCAAAGGAGGAAAGCAAGACTCAAACCAAGGAGCTTGACTCCATGAAGACAGTGTGAGAACAGAGGCTGACGCTGCCTTGACTCAAAGCTTCTACCCATGCTGCAACCCAAAGCTCTAGGAGTTCCACATCTCCAGGCAGGTCTGGAGTTTTGTTTTACTTTGACTGAAACCTCCAATGTGTCCTTTTCTCATCAGCTGAACATCATCTAAGCCCAGGAGCCCTGAGGATACCTCTGTCAATCAGGGACAATGGGGAACCAGACCAAATGACATAGGTGCCCTCAGTTTAGCCTGACACTCTCTTGGTGGCATTTCCCATGGAATGTGAATATTGACCATGAGGCCATCCCATAGGGTTCCTGCACTCCTATCTGTGGGCTTCCTGGGGACTGCCAAGGGTCACAGAACCCTCAGAAGTCAAGGTGATGACTGGCAAGGCAAGTCTGCACCCTCTAGGTCAACCCAGCCACATCAGGAAATGCTCCCAGAGAAAGGGGGCTTATAGCAGCTTCACAAAAGAAACAAAGAGGGGTGCTGGCTGGAAAGAGCTGAGGGTTGTGTTCCCTGGGCTTGAGGCAGGCTGTGTAGGGACAGTGCAATCACCAGGAAGATGGAAAAATTCCAGTCAGCCCCAGGGAAGGGGAGCAAGGGGAAGGGAGGGACAGAAAGGGAGGAAACTAACAGATCCTGATCAGCTACCTACACCAACCAACTCTAATCCAAAGTTTCCTCAACTCTCCGTAGAATCTCGCCTGCAAGAAAAAGGTAAGAACGTGAAGAGGTATGTGTACATCTATATTCATTCACAGTAGCATTGCTCACAAGATCCCAAAGGTCTATCGGGGGATGAATGGATAAACATGACATGGTTTATACCTGCAGTGCAGTATTATCAGCCTTAAAAAGAAGGAAATTCTAACACCTCTACAACAGGGATGAAGACATTATGCTAAGTGAAATAAGCCAGTCACAAGACACACACCATAGGATTCTCCTTATATGAGGTAGTGAGAATAGTCAGTCTCACAGATTCAGGAAGTAGAATGGTGGTTGCAGGGGCTGGGAGGAGTGGAGAGGTTCAGTTTCACAAGATGAAAGAGAAGGATGGTGGTGATGGTTGCACAACATTATATTACATTATATACTATTTTTAATATCACTGAATTGTACCTTAAAATGGTTAAGGTGGTAAATTATATGCTATGTGCATTTTAACAAAAAAAATGAGGGGTGAGAACAATCCCAAGAACAGGCCCAGGAACAACACCCCCACCTCACCAAGGGGGTTCACCTGCTCTGCCCTAACAAGGGCAGGACCCTTCCTCCTGCCATGTCTTATGGTGTCCTTCCTAATGTGGTCACTGTCACTCCACCCCCAGGGAGCTTAGTCTCAGGAAGAGCAGCAATCCGCCCACCTCAGCTCCACAGGCCACACTACTGCCCCACTCATTCCCCAGGTACAGGGACAAGGGGGTCACCCAGCTGGCCAGGTTGGTGTCTCAGATTAGCAAAGACACAGGAGCCCTTCTAGGAGACATCATGAGAGAACAAACACCAATAAACTCCAGCTTAAAAGGCAGCTAAGTATTAGCAAAAGACTGGCTCCTATTAAGAAGTGCTATTATGAGTCCAAGCTTTCTGTCAAAGGAAATTTTCTACTGCTCCTAGCTGATACCAAGTTAGCAGAAGAGCTTTGGAGAAACTCATTTTTGAGGTCTCCTGGAAAGAGATGGGAAAAAAAATTACAGTATGCAAATACATTAAAATAAGGCCACTCACCTGCCTCTGAGTCCCTTAAATTACCTACACAAAGACAGGTAAGGGTTTCCCTCCCAAAATGCTGATATTATTATATCATTATTATTATTATTTATTTTGGTGATACTGGGATTTGAACTCATGCTTGACTAGGCAGGCATTCTACCATTTGAGCCACACCTACAGTCCTTTTTGCTTTAGTTGTTTTTCTAATAGGGTTCTTCATTTTTGCCCAGTCTGGACCACAGTCCTCCTATTGATGCCTCCTGTATATTTGGGACCGACAGGCATGTGCTACCATGGCAGCTTACTGATTGAGATAGGGTCTCACAGACTTGTCACTGTCTGGCCTTGAACCATGATGCTCCCCATGCCTACCTCCAAAGTAGCTGGACTTACAGTTATAAGTCACAATGGCCAGCCAGAATGCTGATGGTGAGCAACAGAAAAAGGTTCCATGTCTGGTCTCCTGGGGAATCTTAGTTCTGTCTCTGTTCTCACCCCCAGGTCAGCCAAACATTGCACTGAGGCTACCATTGCAATCTCCACACCTGCCTCACTTACCCTGCCTGTTTGGGAAGGGTCTAGCACCTGGATGGGGGCTAAGGAGACTCCAGGGACACAGGAAGGACTGAACCAGGGTACAGAGGCAGGGCCAGGGGCAAGAGAAGGGATGGAGAAGCCAGGATGAGTAGCTGGTACCAAGACCCTTCATGAAGCCATTATGCCAACCAAGCACCCCTGAGGGCCACAAAGCACTGGGGGAGGCAGCAAATTAATGATATTCCATGGGGTGCTGTCCTGAAAAGTGCACGGAGAAGGAAATGGAGGAGGTAGTGTTAGGTGCTAGGATCACCTGATCGTCACCCAGGTGGAGAAAAAGGATGGAGTGGGGTTTTCCAGGCAAAGCAGCCATGTGTGACATACACAGAGGACAGGTTGCAGAGGGCAAGTGGAACGCTGGTACCCAGGAATCAAAGGCAGGGCTGCTCAGGGAGACACAGCACCACACCATATGGAGGGCCTGGCTCTACAGTCAGCCTCCTGGGGACAAGTCTTGGATTACTCACCAAAAGATCTCCGGTGCTTAACCTTTCGGAGCTCCAATCCCACTATCTCTACCAAAGGGCGACTTGTGCAATCCACATCCTCCTTGTGAGGTTATTACGAGGATGAAACATCCAGTGCATGTCAGTGGCGGTGGGCTGAAAGGGGCCTACAGAGGCAAGCAGGCCACGCTGAGGGGCCTGGGCAGTCTCCCGAAGATAGTGGGAATGTATCATGAGCTCTCTGCATTTTAGAGGATCCCTCTGGAGCCAGGGACAGACTGAGTACTAACTCTTCCAGAAATGGGACCCTCCCAGGATCAGAAGGATGTGACAAACAAGAAGGGTGATAAAACTAAGTTAAGTGGCCTACCCAAGATCAGAGTTGATGGGTGGCAAACAGGCTGTGTACCCATACCCTTTCCATACTACCACCACACAGGCCGTGGGAGCGGATGTCAGCCCTTGAATGCTATTACTTGAGGCTTATCCTGCAGACAACACAGAAATAGAACTGATTACAGTCATCTTTCTTCAACCGCAGCTTGAATGACGCAGAGAGATTCAGGCTGAATCCTCTGCAATGCAGAGCCCAGTACCCAGCCAAGGGAACGAGGGGTTCATCTAGTCCATGACCTGATCGCCAGGCCAAAGAAAGGGCAGAGTTTCTAATTCTCATGAGAGTTCTGTCCACTGACCAAGCCATGTTCCTACTAGGCAGTGTCTGTCTGGAAGAGCCAGCTTTTTCTGATTCATACAAAGGCACTCAATAGGCTACAGGAAGCCTGTTCTGCAGAGAGAAAGAAATGCATTATCATTTCTTAGAAACTGTTTGGTTATTTACATACCTGCCTCATTTGGACCAAAACCAAACTCTCTTTTGGCAATGTGGAGATCATCACGAAAACACAAACTGTCAAAATTTCAAAATGATCTCTGGCATCTGAGAAACCACGTCAGGAGAGAAGAATAGAAGTGGGTAGGACATCTGGGCCTGTGAGGCCAAAGGTGCTCACCTGACAGGCGCTCTGTGACATCCAGAACCGCACGGCCACTCAGGAAACGCACACGCCCAGCAAATGCTTGGAGGAGGCAAAGGTGATCTGAAAGAGATGGAGACATCAGTGGCCCTGATGCTGTGGGCTGAGCAACACCACCGGGTGTTCACAGTGCCAGGGGCCCACACACCTGCATGGGGACGAGGCCTTATGGGGAGCTAAATTAATTTTTCCAGATCACAATAGGGCCACTTTTTTACAAAGTTGTTGGGCAAGAGTAAATGGCCTGAAATAGTTAAATAGGCAGCATTTGCCCTATGAATCTGGTTCATATTGTCTGTGACTTCCCAAATTTCTGTGAGATTTGAGATAAAAAGAAGTATCTGGATGATGGATAGACAGGTAGATGGTAGAGACTGGATGGATGGATGGATGGATACATGGATAGGTACATGAATGGATGGATATGTGGATGTATACTCACAGTTTTAGGGGAAACTAAGGCACTGAGCCATGGTCACATAAAAATCAGCAAAGGGTTGGGGTTAGAATTCAGAAGTCATGGCTCTCCTCAAAGCCTGAACTTGCACTTTAACCAATGGGACATGTGCACACCAGGTGGCCCTTTATTTCCACACGCTGAACACTTACTGGTATCCTTTATGTAGTAGACATGGAGCTGGAAACTAACTAAAACACAATCCTCCCCACTCATCTTAGGAGGATGATTTGAGAATAAAAGTTACCTTCAACATGAACCTGACCCAAGGTAGGAATCTCTGTGCTTGTGTAACCACAGCCTGGGATCCTGAGCCAGGTGACCAACTCAATTTGATCTGCCCAGGGCTCTGCCTACTCTAGCACTGACAATCCACATGCTAGGGGCCCAGAATGGCCAGTCACCCTATCAGGAGCAGAAACAACTATCTTCTGGGGTCATAGGAGGGGGTTTATTGGTTAAAGGGGTGTGATTACCCCTCAACAGTTTATGTGTAACCTCAGGCCTAGGACAGATTTCCCCTTGCTTGTAAACCAAGTAGTTGGGCCCAGCATGAATACACAAGCCAAGATGGCACAGCTCATTTTCCATACTCCCCAATTCACCTTTCAGGAAGTTTGGGAGATAAGGGATTTTGAACCTTTTTATTTTTTCAACTGTCCCAGTGCCTCCTCCCATCTGTTCAGCTTCCCCAGTCAAGCAGTCACACCTAGTCCCAGGAGCATACTCACCTGGCTACCCAGCCCACCCATGGGGGATGCACCGGACCTGAGCACCTCCCCAAACCAGGTAGAGATGGCTCAAGGTCAAGATGTCGCTTGGTTTCTTGAACAGTATTTCTAAAGTCAAGTGCAGCAGGAAGCTGTTTATTCTTCCCCATTTTAGTTGATACCCCCTAACTTCTAAATCTACTAAGCCTGAAGATTTGGATTTGTCATAAAGATACACAAGGTGTGTTTGCACACCTTGCCTGAGAAAGGTGTGCTAACCTTGACACTGCATGAGGTTGGATCTCTCTTTGCCTCTGCCATGAACTGTGAAGGCCCTGGCATGGCGTGCCCAGCTCCCAGCAATTTGCAGCTATGGTAGTTAAAGAAAATTCAATGGGAGGTGGGGCAAATAATGAGATGCCTCCTTCCGGGATGTGGCTATGTGGGCTTGCCCACACCTGTCAGGAAGGAAAGTTAGGAGGCCCAAGATGATGTCACCACAGCGGCCCAGCAAGTATGCCCTGTTGTCTTAGTCCGGTTTTTTTTTTTTTTCTGTCATAACAGAAAACCAGAGTGGGTAATTTATAAACAATAGTTTATTTTACTCAGAGTTCTGGAGGATGGCACATCTGGCAAAGGCCTGGGATCCTCATTAACCTGTGGCAGAAGGCAGAAGGGCAAACACGTGTGTGAGATGGTGACAGAAAGGGGGCCAAATCCATCCCTTCTTCAGAAACCTATCTCCGTAATGATGGCCCAGTCACGAGGGCAGAGCCTTCTGACTCTTAGAGGTGGGTTCCTCTAAGGCCCACCTCTCAAAACTGCACAGTGGCAATTCAATTTCAACAGGAGTTTTGGAATGGGCTTTCAAACCACAGCACTTCAGATGTGACTTCTCAAGGTCAGACAAGGGACCTTGTCTCTTCACAAGGAACAGTCTAGAGATCTGCCTGGAGAAATCTTTCCAAACAGCCCCCCCTTCTCCCAGCACCTCTGGTCCTGAACACAGAATGGCAGCATCTCCACAGATGTGCACTAACAGCTCTGTTTTCCCTTGGGGCCATAAATCAAGCTAACAGTCAATTCCCACTTCCCTTACTCTCCTTGTGAAGCCTGTGAGGGGTACAGAAGAGAAACATATACATCTCTGCGCTTGCAAAAGGCAACAAAGGCATGAAGAATTTCCTTAGTTCCACAAGGCAACACAGAGTTTTTACAATAATTTGTCCTGGGAGACAAAAGGTATGTCAGGTTCTAGAATGTTGCAGCAAGTAGGAAGTGATCTTGGGGTGTCTTGGTAAAATTGTCATTGTGTAAGAACAGCTTTCATTTCGTGACACAGTGGCTTACACCTGTAATCCTGGCTACTTGGGAGGTGGCAACCTGGAGAATCACGTTCAAGGCCAACCCAACCAAAAAGTCAAGTTCACCAGACCCCATCTCAACCAATGGCTCAGTGTGGTGGCACACATCTGTCATCCCAGCTACGCAGTTAGCACAAATAGCAGGACTGTGGTCCAGGCAGTCCTCGACATAAAGACCCTATCTCAAAAAAAAACAATGTAGGGTTGGTAGAATGGCTCGAGTGGTAGAGTGCCTGCCCAACAACCAAAAGGCCCTGAGTTCAAACTCTAGTACCAATAAATAAATAAGCAAGCAAACAATGTAAAAAGGGCTGGCAGAGTGGCTCCAGCGGTAGAGCATCTGCCTAGCAAGTGCAAGGGCCTGAGTTCAAGGCACAGTACCACCAAATTTTAAAATAATAGGTTTTATATCAACCTCACCTATATTATTGTTTCTAGGTGCTTCTATTTGCTACACACACATCTTCCTGATTCACCAGAAGCTCATATTTGAAGAAGGACCTCTCCCTCCCTGTTCACCTCTCACAATGCTTGCTTTGGCTCCTGGCCCCAACATGGCCTCCCAGAACCGGAAAGATGTGAACTTGGGGAGTTACTTGAAAATGTACACTGAGCAGCCATCTGTACCAGACCACACTCCCACAGCACCAGTGCACAACAGGTGCTTGAAAAACACTTGTGAATACAGGACAATGTCAAAACAGGACACGGTTTTTCCAGGCTGCATCCCAGAGAACACACAGATAGTTGCAGACCTCACTTACTCAGGCCACTTTTATAGTGAAGACTCATCTTTTTGGTCACACTCAGGTTAAATAAGAGACAGTGAAGCATAATGGTTAAGGGTACAGGCTCTGGGTGCAAATTTCCTGGTTTTAAGGCCCGGCTCTTCTTCATTCTCCTGTGTAACATGGGACAAGTCACCTAGTCACTCTCTGCCTCAGTTTTCCCATCTGTAAAATGGGGATGGTCCTAGTACTTTCTCAAAGAGTTGCTGTGAGGATTAAATGAGTTAATGTAATACTTGGAAATGGGCCCAGATTACATAATTACTATGCATCAGGTATTGTAAAGATTATAATTATTACCCTAAAATCCTCTGAAAGCCCAGCAACCTTCATGGTAGGGACACCAAATAAGAAGCTGAAATCTAAACAATCCTGGAAATGACTTTCAAACCTTGAAACCCATGCTGAACTAGCCTAGCCCGTTTCCATAGACTCCTTTCTGCCTCACAAGGCAGCTAAGACTGGTCTTGCAACTAAGAGAACATTCTAGAAGCCATGCCATGGGGAGAAAATGGCCACTGGCTGGTAGGCCAATAACCCAGTGCTCCCTGCGCTCAGGCTCCCCACTTCAACAAAGCAGAGATCCAGGGGCCTTGCACCCATTCTATTCATCCAAGCTCTGAGACTACCAATCCACATCATCCTCAGTCCACTGGAAGCTAGAAGAGCTTTTAAGAAAGCACAAAAACCATAGCAATGTGGACAAAAGCCACAAGGACACTGGGATCAAATGGCCTCCCAGCAATAAGCACAAGAGTCAGTAAGTTATGCTAGGCCACAGTTCTCTGTGGTGGTCATCTCAGGAAAAAACTGGAACGGTCCACTGCACTGAAGCACACAACCTATGACACAGTCTCATGACGGAGTCACCAACAGTGACTCACGTTGTAATCACACGCAAATGCTGGATTTTTTTAAAGCAGAATGCAAATTCAAATGTCTAATCGAATGTGCCATACGACCACAGCTATCTATGTACACAGACATGTACAGAAAAAGATCTAAAATAAAATGCCAGGTGTTAATAATGGGTTTTCTGTTGTTGTTTTCTCCTTTCAGATGCTTTGTGTTGTCCATTTTCTCAACGATTAATAAGCATGACTTTCACAGTGGTGAAAGTGAGTTTTATATTTTTAAGTAAACTAGGATGACTACATAGGTGCACGGGAGACTGGGTAGTGTTAAATGAAAAGCAGAATCGAAATTGTATTCACATTATGATAATAACTCAGGAAATTTGGGTATGTGTAGAAAATAAATAGAAGATCAAGAGCTTTTTAAGTGGGTGGTATACTGGAGAGGCATCGGGTGAATTTTTAATTCCCTAAACAGTATGATGTTGGTCAGATGATTTACATTCAGTAAGAAGTTTAAAGCCAGAGAACAAAACAGTGGAGTAGATCACAAGCCACCCCCGTTCCAAGCTTATCTGCTTTCTCCAGCCCTGGCCAGGGACTGGGCTAAATTAAGAGAGCTCCTTTTGGCTCTGAGAAGCCTGAATGTCAAGGTCACCTGGGAGAAGCTGAGCTGTCAGCAGGCTGATGTTTTAATTAGTGAGGTTTCTTCTGTAACTAAACCAGTAACAGTGTGGGCTAGCCCAAAACCAGGATGAACCAATCTGCTCAGAGTAATTCCCCTAAAATCAAAAGGTTCCCCCACCGACCCCACAAGGGGACAGCAGCAGAAATCCCTACCTGCTCTGTCAACCCACACATCACTCCACCCAACCTGCCCTTGGGAGAATCAAGGAAGTAAAAGAGATCATTTAGACAAATGAGTTTACTTTATCACAGAGTTCCAGAATCAGGAAGAATCTTAAGAGCTTGCATAAGGAGGCCGGCCTCCCATCTGGTTGTGTCATCTGACTTTGTGCCAACACATGGTGGCCCGGTCTGGCAATCAACCAGAAACACACAGTAAAGTGCTGAGTAGTTGCTTTGCGACTTTCTTCATTTAAGTATTTCTCAGCATTTAACAGCTTTCTCCAGCCTGGAGCCCAGAATCCCTGGAGGAAATGAAGAAGCAGGCTGGGGAGAAAGCTCCTTTCATCCAAGGGCTACAAGCCACTTCCAGGAGGGGCTCCAGGTGCTACCAGGGATTGGATGGTCGCAGCAGACCCCAGGGCAGGGCCTGGCCTGGGAAACTCAATATTTGTATTCCTTTTTCCCTCTGTGGGCCAGGCCCACACACCAGGCATTAGAGAGCCACTGCTGGAGACATCTTGCTTCTGTCCAGCTTAGTACTCGCTAGCAAGGAGGAATTCTCCACGTCACTAACCTAAATGACTCTGGCTCTGGCCTACCTGGATGCAGAAACCAGCTTGTCACTTCAGAGTTAAGAACACTTTCAAAACCAATGTTGCTGGCAGGACCAAGAAGGCGTGGCTCACCGTAAAGCCATCTGGCCCAGTCAACTAATTACCACACCTGCTCAAAAGTTACCTGGAACCAAGCCTGTATTTCACCCTGTAGCTCCCAGGAACCTCTGCCAGGGATTGGGCTGTGCTCAATTCTTTGAGGCCGACACAGCCCTTCCCTTCCAGCTGGAGCACTGATCTAAGGATTAGAGAAGAAAAGTTCCCTCATACCTGCTTCATCCTCCCCACACCAAAGCCTCTGGCTGGTGAACAAGAGGAGCCATTTGCAGCCATATCCAAGGAGACCCTGTCCCAGAAGGAAGGGCTCTTCTTGGTAGCTGCAACCCTGTCTTTTGTGATCAGATCACAAAAGCAGACTGCCATGGTTTGGATGAGTTTTGTCCCCTCAAAGGTTCAGGTTAGAAGCTTGGTCCCCAGGGTGGAAATGTTGTGAAGTGATGAGACTTAAAGAGATGGGACCTAAAGGAAAGTAATTAAATAACTGGGGACACCACCTTCAGAAGGAATTAATGCTGGCCTCAAAAAATGAGTTAGTTCCTGTGAGAGTGGAGTGTTATAAAAAGACCAAGACCAGCTGACTTCCTGTCTCACCATGGGATCTCTGCCACACAGGTTCCCACCACTGTCTCTGCTAGAGCCAAACAGAGGCTGATGCCATGCTCTTGGACTTCCAGAACCGTGAGCTCAATAAATCTCTTTCTTTATAAAATTACAGTAGCAGAAAATAGATGAATACACAGGGCATCTCCAGGCCTCCTGCTTTCCAGGGTGCCCACCCCAGATAGGTACAGCAAGACCCTCAAGTAGAGGGGTCTTGAGTCTTTTGACCATGAAAGACACCAGATTCTGTTGCCCAAAGCGCCAGACTCTACTGTGCTCAGGGAGGCTGGCCTGGTAGCAGAGAGCAGAAACAAACACCCAGGGAAGGAAGAGTTAAACGTCCTTCCCCAGACACAGGTGTTCACCCTCCTCAAATAGCTACAGCCCATTCCGCTTGCCACAGGTTTTCCCAATAAATCCAAGGCCCACAGTGATTTACCAAGAGCCTTGGTTATTGGCAACAGCAATCTCACTTACCCAGAGGGGTGCTGAGAACAAGCCATAATTTAGAGCTAGATTTATATTGTTTGTTCTACAGCAACAAACTCAGCAAATCATAAATTCCTTCTGAGATGAAATGTGGAAATTGACAATATTTATGAACTCAAGAGACAGAGAAAGGCTTGAGCAAGCCTTTGATTTGTAACTGAGCTTCTGGCAGCTCCAGCCAAGGACACAGCTACTGTCCCGGCTGGAGGAGTTGGGCCCAGGCCAACACATGGGGAACAGGGAGGGGTGAGTGTTCCAGGAGGCGTTTCCAGCCTCACCTGGGATGCTCGGAGAATGGCAGAGGCGAGGCATCACCCCATGCTAGTGACACACAAGGCAAACAAAGGCAAGTTCAGCTCATAGGCCTCCTCACACCATGGCAAAACTTGCTCATGAGAACTCATCACTCTACTGATCTGCACACAAGTCTACTTGTGTACTACTTTCTCAGCAGGACTGACGTTTTGAACTTGCGCTTCTTTCTACATACCAGATACACAAAAATATCACCTTTTAACCATCCACAAAAGGACAGGCACAGATGAAGATGCACTGAAAATTCTACCCAATGTTGGAGAATGGAGACATGACACTGCACAGTGCATAAGGATCTGAGATGCTCTCACCTTTGCTGATGACTCCTGAGCCCACAGCTCCTTCCTTTTTCCTTCTGTCCTCCTCCCACACCCTTCCACCCATGCTCCAGCCCATCACCAAGCCCCAGCCCAGTTGAGCCTTGCCCAGCACTCCTCACTCAGCCCCTGCCATGTGGTCCTGGAAAGTCATTTCCCTCAGGTGTGTAGGGGGAAGCTAAACCAGCTCATCTCACCCTACCTCCACTCCTCAGCATCCAGTGGGTGGAGGGAGGAGAAGCCTCCAGCAAGAGCCTCAGAGGCCCTGGGATGCCAACCCCTGCCCTACACAGGGTAAATGGTTCAAGAACCAGCCAACGCTGTTTGCTACTCCACTGATTCCCCATGGTGACTCCAGAGCCCCATGGGGTTTCAGTGCAGCACTCACCCAGGTTCTCCATCATTGCATCCAGGGCAGTGGCAGCAGCGGTGGAAATCCCCAAGTTCTTGGAGTTAAGGTTGTCTGCAACAGTGATGATGAGGGAGAGCAGCAAGGGGTGCACGCCCTCTTTGAGGAGGGGGAGCATCTTGGCAAGGGACTCCAGTGCCCACTGGTTCACTTTCTTGTTGGAATCCTGAAGCCTTGGGGTGAAAGCATCAAAGACCTATTGAGGGAACAAAAACCAACAGCCTATGGGAAACCTGTCTAGGCAAGAGTACTATAGCACCAGGGATTTTGGAACTCACCCAACCTATTCAAACTGCCCTTGGCCAGTAATCCTCCTGCATCCCTGAAAGGAGTCCCCCCAGTCTGTGCCAGAACACTGCCAATGGTAAAGAGCTCACCTCCTCAAAAGGGGGGTGGGCAAGCCAGGCTCTCATGCCTATAATCCCAGCTTCTTGGGAGGCAGAGATAGGATGATCACAGTTGAAGACCAGCAGCCCGGGCAAAAAAAAAATTCTTTGAGTTAGTGGGACCCTATCTCAAAGAACAAGTCCAGTATAGTGGTACACATCTGTAATCCAAGCTACATGGAGGGAGAGCAGAGGTAGGAGGATTTATGTCCAAGGCCAGCCCTATGCAAAATCAAGACACTATCTGAAAAAATAACTAAAACAAAAAGGGCTAGGGTGTGTTTCATGTGGTAGCATGCTTGCCTGCCAAGTGTAAGGCCCTGAGTTCAAACCCCATTACTGCCAAAAAAGATGGGGGGCAAAAAGGAAGGAGCCAATGTGTATTGAGTGGTCCTCCATGCCAAGAGTGTTGAGGCAGGCTCTCTGCACTCTCTGCACTCTCTTTCACTGAATGGACTTAACCCATGAGGTACATTCTTCATCTGCACTTTCCTACTAACAACAGCTGAGGCTCAGCGAGGTTAATTGACTTGCCTCAGATCACACAGCTAGTAAGAAACCTGGATGGACACCCAGGTCTGCTCACTCAGCCTGTGCCTCTGCCATGTGGCAGACTGTCAGCAGCCTCACTCCAGGAAGAAACAGGCATTCCACCAGAGGTTCAGCCTGTTCCATCCACCCATCATGGCCTAGTCACCTGTCTAACCACAGGCTCTTCCCCAAACATTATGCAAAAAACTAACCAAAGTCCTCAGCCACAGTACTCTCTATCTCTGCCTCCCAGCCAGAAGGATGAGAGACATCAGGAAATCTCTCCTCATTTCCATCGTGTGGCCACATCTATGTCATCTTTTGGCATTTCAGAGGCCAACTGGAAAGGAAGGCCTTAAGCCTCCCTGTTCCCTGAGAGATCTGCACAGCTTCCACCCCAGCCCAGGGTTTTCCAGATTGAAGTTGCACCCACAAGGGAGAGAGAGGCAAGAGGGCAGGTGGGCAGTGTTCACCTCGACCACGTTGGTGGTGATGAGCTCTGGCTTTGTCCTGCAGTACTCAAGGAGCCGCCCTATGCCTTCCATCCGAGACTGGTACTCCTTGGCCTCCAGCAGCCGCATCAGCTCCCGCAGCTGCTCCACCATCTCCGCACCACCCCGCATGGAAAACCGCAGTCCTGCCATCCGCAGGCTATTGGAAGCAAGCCTGGATGGAAAAAGAAGGCTGACCCCTGGGGAAAAGCCCAGGGAATGACACCCTTGTCCCACGCACCCTCACACTGGCAGGTGAGGCAGAGACAACAGTGTTACCACCCCCAGCTTCTCCACCTGCAGCTCAGGGTCACTGGCCTTGGGAACTCTGTCAGTTGCCTAGGGTCTCATCCCCTGGTCAGCAGGCAGTTCTCTCTTCCTGCCTTTTCTCCTCTCTTTTCAGAAGATGTGAAGAATTGGAGATGGGGTAGGTTGGAGTGAGGGGGTATCCATGAAATGATGAGTGGGGCACATTTGTGTGATCTCATGCCCTAACCAGGTCCCATGCAACAGGACCCACCACTGTCCATTCTCTCATTTGTCGTTGTGTCCCACATTCCTGCCTACTGATTGCCAAGAGCTGTGCTGGGCACTGGAAGCGATGAGATGAGAGATACAGCCTTTGCCTTAAGGAGCTCACAGACTGATGGGAGATGGAATTATGAAGAACAGGGGGCAATTGTCCATCCTGAGACCATGGGAGCACAGGGTGTCAGAGCATCTGAGAGGAGGTGACCGGTGAGCTGAACCTTATAGAATCAATAGGCATATTCCAGGTAAAGCCAGGCAGGGACCAGGAGCTACTCTGGTCTGGTTGAGAGAGAATGAGTAGGAAGAAGAGGTGACACCCAGGCAAGGAGTTCAGCTGTGATCCTCCCAGACCATAGCAGAAGGATCTAAATTTTAAGCACAGGAGTAGCTATGGGATTCCTGCTTGGTTTGTAACTGCTCCCAGCCCCCACCCTCCAACCCTCAGTCTGTGCCTTCTCATCTGCCTGTGTTCTAGCCCTGCCTCTGGACTAGTCCCAGGTTGGCTACTCTGGCCACTACACATTCTGCTGATCTAAGAGAATGAAGAGATTCTGAGCTCACATCGAGAGCCTGACCAACAATATCCCACCCATACTAGTGGAATTGCACTCCCTCAGCCAAGGCAACTGCCACTGGCAGATGCTCCCAAGCCCTGGATTTGGGCCATGAAGGATGTCCACAATCCACCCCAGAGCAATCCCTGGCCATGGGCAAGCTGATGACTGTTTTGGACATGGGACCCCAGAGAGCCAACAGCAGCCATACCCTTCCTCAATGGGCAGTCCATTCTCACACGTCACCAGACTCCTTGACACCTTGTGGTCTTTGGCAGATAGAAGTTCATGGTTGTCTTCTATTCCCTTGAAAAATAGATGCAGAACATAAGCCAAGAGGAGTGGCTCTCTAGGGAACTACTTACATTCCACATAGACCATAACAAGGAGGATAACTCCTTTTGCCTAGAGCTTCAGGGGTCCCAGGTGAGCCCCGGAGGTAGCTGGGGTAGAGATCAAGATCCTCACTTAACAGATGAAGGTGTAGAGGCCCCAGGAGCTCAAGGGACATGGACAGAGAGGGGCAAAACCAGGTATGAGCAGAGGGGACCAAAATCACATTTAAGCCACCTGTCAGAAGTAATGGATTAAATTCAAGCATTAGAATCTACTCCCCACTCCTCTGATCCACAGGAGACTGCCAGGCTCCTCTCTGACTCCCACTCCCTGAAGACTGCCACTCACACTCCACTACTCACTCGCTGTTTAATGGCCGCCATGACTTTGCGCAAGTCATGAGAGGGGAGAGACTGCTTCAGAAATGCATCAAACTTAGCATTGGCCATCAAGATGTTTACCATCTTCCGGCCATAAAACCTGCCACAGGGAAAAAGTAAGATGAAGAAACGACCACAGAAGCACACAATAAATTTTCTCTACAGCTTTATACAATTTTCCTAATTATAGTAGGGGAGGTTTTAAGACTTTTTCTAATTATAAAAAGCAATCCCTACCCAGTTAAAAATTAAAGTCATAAAAGAATAAACATCCATAATGCCATCGCCAAGAGAAAATCACTACTAAAATTTTATATATTTTCTTACACTCTTTTTCTATGCATGCACAGTTCAGTAGATATCAGAATGAAAATGCAACTTGCATCCAGCCTTTTCACTTTCCCATCAATCATCTTCCCGTGTAATCTCAAACTCTTCATAAGCATCCTTTTTAATGGCTAGCCAAGATTCTATTGAATAGCTGTACCAAAATATACTTAACTTTTCCCTAGTTGGGGACATTCAGAAGTCTGAGGGAGGAGGCAGAGGGACAGTATAACTTGGAGTGGTCAACTCTAGTAAACAGTGATTGTTGAGGGAGGGAATTAAGGAGGGCTTCATAGAAGAGGTGACTCTTGGGTTCAATGAGTAGGAGTTCACAAGTGGGGCAGGATTAGGGATTAAGAGAAGAGTCATTCCAGATCAGTAACAGAGTGTGACACAACAGCAGGATATAGTTCAGAATACTGAGCAGGGCCTGGACACAGGAGGAGAATAGACTAGAGAATAAGGCAGAACCCTCTGTAGAGAGACATGAAGGAGTTGAGCTTCAGCCTGCAAGCAATGGGAGGCTGAGGAATGATTGGGTTTGCACATTAGTCACAACGTCTCTGGCAGGAGGGGAAGTTGGCTAGGGGCTGGGAGACCTGTTAGGAGGCCACCATGATAGCTCAGGCAAGAGACAAAGACCTGAAATGAGGCAACAGAAGAGAAATAAGAATGGGCAGTGACACACAACCATAACCAACTTGTCTTTGACAAAGGCGCTAAAAATATACGATGGAGAAAAGACAGCCTCTTCAACAAAAACTGCTGGGAAAACTGGTTAGAAGTCTGCAAAAAACTGAAACTAGATCCATGTTTATCATCCTATATTAACATTAACTCAAAATGGATCAAGGATCTTAATATCAGACCACAAACTCTAAAGTTGATACAGGAAAGAGTAGGAAATACTCTTGAATTAATAGGTATAGGTAAGAACTTTCTCAATGGAACTCCAGCAGCACAGCAGCTAAGAGATAGCATAGATAAATGGGACCTCATAAAACTAAAAAGCTTCTGCTCATCAAAAGAAATGGTCTCTAAACTGAAGAGAGAACCCACAGAGTGGGAGAAAATATTTGCCAGCTACACATCAGACAAAGGACTGATAACCAGAATATATAGGGAACTTAAAAAACTAAATTCTCCCAAAACTAATGAATCAATAAAGAAATGGGCAAGTGAACTAAACAGAACTTTCTCAAAAGAAGAAATTCAAATGGCCAAAAAACACATGAAAAAATGCTCACCATCTCTAGTAATAAAGGAAATGCAAATTAAAACCACACTAAGATTCCACCTCACCCCTGTTAGAATAGCCATCATCAGCAACACCACCACCAACAGGTGTTGGCGAGGATGCAGGGAAAAAGGAACCCTCTTACACTGCTGGTGGGAATGTAAACTAGTACAACCACTCTGGAAAAAAATTTGGAGGCTACTTAAAAAGCTAAACATTGATCTACCATTTGATCCAGCAATACCACTCTTGGGGATATACCCAAAAGACTGTGACACAGGTTACTCCAGAGGCACCTGCACACCCATGTTTATTGAGGCACTATTCACAATAGCCAAGTTATGGAAACAGCCAAGATGCCCCACCACTGACGAATGGATTAAGAAAATGTGGTATCTATACACAATGGAATTTTATGCAGCCATGAAGAAGAACGAAATGTTATCATTCTCTGGTAAATGGATGGAATTGGAGGACATCATTCTGAGTGAGGTTAGCCTGGCCCAAAAGACCAAAAATCGTATGTTCTCCCTCATATGCGGACATTAGATCAAGAGCAAACACAACAAGGGGATTGGACTTTGATCACAAGATAAAAAGGAGAGCACAGAGATATGAGGATAGGTAAGACACCTAAAAAACTAGATAGCATTTGTTGCCCTCAACGCAGAGAATCTAAAGCAGATACCTTAAAAGCAACTGAGGCCAATAGGAAAAGGGGACCAGGAACTAGAGAAAAGGTTAGATCAAGAAGAATTAACCTAGAAGGTAACACATATGCACAGGAAATTAATGTGAGTCAACTCCCTGTATAGCTATCCTTATCTCAACCAGCAAAAACCCTTGTTCCTTCCTATTATTGCTTATACTCTCTCTTCAACAAAATTAGAGATAAGGGCAAAATAGTTTCTGCTGGGTATTGAGGGGGTGGGGGGGAGAGGGAGGGGGCGGAGTGAGTGGTAAGGGAGGGGGTGGGGGCAGGGGGGAGAAATGACCCAAACATTGTATGCACATATGGATAAAAAAAGAAAGAAAGAAAGAAAGAATGGGCAGTGAGATTCAAGGCCTGTAGGATTTGATGGTTGGAAGTGGAGCAAGGAAGCATCTAAAGTTACACTGATTTTACACTGATTCTAAAATGCACCACTACTTTATTTTCCACTAAGGAAAAATGAGGAAAGAAACTACTGGCAACTTTCATTGCCTTTGAGGTCACTGCACCATGTGTGAAGGCTGCCTCAGAATCAGAAAGTGACATTACTTATGGTGTTTTCCTTCCTTAGGTCAGGTGAAGGTCTTGGCAAGTGCTTTGCAAGAAAATGTGGAATTTTGGCCATTCCTTCAACAAGGAATCCTTGCTTTAGTGCTGTCTAATTGATGCTCCACTGTTGTACATAACTTTTCATTTTAATAACTTTTCATTTCAATGACAAATAATGGTATAATGTTTCTGAGACCTTTTAAACAGTAACAGAGCTCATCAATTCTCTAAAAATAAATCAAAAGGCTGACAAGCAAAGAAAAGCTCATAGTATAATTCCTACAATGTAAACTTTAATTCAAAAGTTTATACTTTGAGCAACATCAACCAAATTTGCCATGTGCAAGTAAAAAAACCCAAGTCATAATTGCTCCCTGGCCAACAGCAACTGTGAGAGGTCTCTGAAGATACAAGACAATTTCAAAGGTGTTACAATGTGGTTAAGACCCAGAGGATCACAACTGGAGGCCAGCCCAGGTAAACAGTTTTCAAGACCCCATCACCAAAATAACCACAGCAAAATGGACTGGAGGGGTGGCTTAAGAGATAGAGTGCCTGCTTTGCAAGCACAAAGCCCTGAGTTCAAATTCTATCCCACCAAAAAAAGTTACAATGTGGAGGAAAATGTGTGTCTGAGATTCAAGGGAATCCCTATTTTGCATTTTGGGTGACTTGGTAAATAATGGTAACTTTGAACAGTAGAGGGAATAGGGCTGGGAAATCAGGCTTAGGAAGAAGGCAATTAGCTCCCCTAGGAGCACTTTGCCCTGAAGATAACAATGGGACATCTGGTGACAAGCCCTCTGAAGGCATTAGACATAATGGCAGATGCTCAAAAAAGGGTCCCAGCTGGAGGGAGAGATTGGGAAATGTCAGAGTTTGCTGATGGCAGGAGCCATATGAAGTGAGAGCAAGAAGAAGAGGAGGAATAATTGAAGACATTCCACAGCCTCCTCCATTCAGATGATAGGAAGAGGGGAGAAATGGCCCCAGGAAGCAAGGAGAAGCAGGAGGTATAGCGACTGGGAAGCCAGGAGGCATAAGGTGTCATGAAGGAAAATAAGGCCCAGTGTGGTGGCTCGTACATGTAATGCCAGCTACACAGGAGACAGAAGTAGGAGGATCATTTTCCAAGACCACCGGGCAAAAAGGGAGACGATACCTGAAAAATAAACTAACGTAAAAAGGACTGGGGACATGGCCAACTCCAAGGCCCTGAGTTCGAAACCTAGTACTGCCAAAAAAAAAAAGGAAAAGGAAATGCAGTCATCCAACATGAGAGGTCAGAAGGGAGAAAGATATATTCAGAGAGATAATAGGTCTTGATTTCCATCCTCTACTAGCAATTACAAAACAGCTCAAAATCTTCCTCATTTCAATATTCTTCACCTCATTGAGCAACAATATCAGTAACCCAGTCATTCAGATTAGAAACCTAAGAGCCATGTTTAATGTGTCTTTGAAACCACTGCCACCCAAATCCTGTTTGCAAAACACACCCAAAGCCATCCACTATCCTTGTTCCAGCCTCCAGGCCCTCTTGCCCTGACCGTGGTGTAGCCATCTGTTTGTTGTCCCACCCCATACTGACTCTTCTCCACCCACCCCCCCAAGATCAGTCCTCTACTGACTGCCAGGGATATGGTTTTTGTTTTGTTTTGTTTTTTTATTAAAAGGCTAGCAAGGGAAAAAAGGCTAGCAAGAGCACATAGCCAAATCATGGAAACAGCCCAGATGCCCTACAACTGATGAATGGATTAAGAAAATGTGGTATATTTACACATAGGAGTTTTACTCAGCCATAAGGAAGAATGAAACCATGTGGTTTGAGGGTAAATGGATGCAACTGGAGGACATTATGAAGTGAAGTAATCCAGGCTCGGAAAGACAAAGGCCGCATATTTTCTCTCACATGTGGGAGACAGACACAGCACAAATACAAATATTATGAAAAACAAGTCACGTTGTGGGAAGGTCACATATGAGAGAGGGAGGGTAAAAGAAGTTAAGAAGGTGAATATAGTTGATGTGCTATCTATACAAGAATGAATACAAAATTTTTTAAACCTGCTGAAATCACCATAAGAATGGGACGAAGGCAGAAAGGAGAAAAATAGAGGGGATGAACCAATTTGGGTTATAATTCATTTATATATGGAGATGTCACAATGAAATTCCCTGAATAGCTATCTTAAACCAACAAAAATGTCTTTCTTCAAAAATGGAGAACAGGAAGGTAAAACAGGTCCTGTCTGGGTGGGGGGACTGGTACCAATGGGAGGGGGAGGACATAAGGAAAGGGTGTAGGAGGGAGAATGTGGTGAAAATGTTATGTACTCATGTATGAAAATGGAAAAATGAGACCTGTTGAAACTATTCCAGGAATGGGGGAGGGTAGGAGAAAGATGGAGGGGGTGAATTCAACTATGATATATCGTAAGAACTTTTGTAAAAGTCAAATGTACCCCCAGTACAACAATAACATAATAATCTTTTTTAATGTTGAAAGAAAAAAAAGAATACTGCTGATCAGGGAGAATGATTTCTGACTACTTGATTTAATTAGCCTTGAGGATTTAGGGGACACACCTTCTGAGTGTATTTCAGATCTGATCACTAGCATTTTATTGATAATAGCTGAAAAATGATAAAATGTTTTATAGTACCAACTTTTGTTAAAAAGACTAGCAAGCATATGAAAAACCCTCAAACTCGTTAGTAATCAGGTGGGGGAAGGCATTGGAAACAATGGTGAACCATCCCTCTCCCATTAGATTAATACAAATTAGAAATCCAGATATTGCCACTCATTGGTGGGGGCCAGGAGGTAGCATCCCATACCAGCAAGATGGCTGCCAACTGGGGTGCCACCCAGGGAAGCTGTCTGAAGCACATGTGGGAACTTCTGCCCAACATTCTGTTCAGCAGTGAATGGGGAGTGGAGGAAAGAGTGACCACTGCAAACAGCACCTGACTACACTGGGCCCCTGAAGGCTCAACGCTCTGTGTGTGGGTGTGCTGTGTGTGTGTGTGTGTGTGTGTGTGTGTGTGGCCCCTGGAGCCCAGCCAGCTCCCTTCTCCATCCTAGACAGGAAACTGTATCAAGTAGGCGCCAGCCCTAGCTTTGCAAGACGTCAGATCCTGTTGCTCTCCTGCTTAAAACCCTCTAATGTCGCCTCATTCTCCTGCTTGAAACTCCTCCACTACCCTCCCATCACAACCCAAAATCCCAACCTGTGACCTTGACCTCTGATGCCCTCCATGATCTGGGCCACCCACCACACGCTTCTCCTTTTGCTCCACCCAGCCTGGCCATCCTCCTCCTTGAACACCAAGCTGCTCCATCAAGGGTCTGTGTACCATTTCCTCAGCCTGTACCACATGCCCAGATGCTCACAGAGCTGGCTCCAGCCAGCAGGCCGATTCTCAGCCATCCCCAGCCCTCAGCCTCGCATTGCTCCCCTCCAGTCTCCATCCCATCTCGTGGAAGTTTAGCCTTGTGTCCTTTATCTGTATCTAAAATACTCTTAACATTTGTTTATTATGTGCCTCTCTCAACTAGGAGGTAAGCTTCAAGACAACCAGGGCTTGATTTTTCTTATTCACTGCTCTATCCATAATAATGAAAGGGAGAACCTTAAATACCACTTGTGAAAATGACTGGTCTTACAGAGAATGGAGCCAGGGAGGGGGAATGGAAGGGGAGAAAATTTAGGCAGGGACACCAACCACTCCCTGAACTGAGTTGGCTGTGACACTGGAGGGAAGTGGGACAACAGATGGAAGGAATGGATACAGCTTCTGTCGGTCTGACTGTCCCTGTGCAGATCCCCAGGGAAGCTGAGCCGTCGGGGCAGGCCCTGCCCTACCTGGTGTCCTGGTTGGAGTCCTGGGCCAGCCTCACAAGGTTGTGTACCAGCATGTCTGTACTGTCCCTGGGGCCTGAGAGAAGCTTCTCGGCACCGATCTGCTCCAGGACGGCTGAGAGGTGCTTGGCAGTACATTTCCGAACTAAGGGGTTTCGGTGGCTGAAAGGAAACACAATCACAGCCAAGGGCTTGGTCACAGGAGCAGGTGTAGGGCCCCAGACTGGCACGTGTGTATCTAAAACTGTAGACTTGTAGACCCATGTTTAATGCCAACTATGGCTCCAAAACCTGTCCCTGTGGGCTTGGGGGATCTTTGAGGAAAGAGCAATTAGCTCCTGATGACACGGTGACCACAGTGGCGATGGGAGAGGGAAGAGCAGCTGAAGGATGTCACATGTTGCTCCCCAAGTAGATCCTGTGCTCACTATTCTCAGGGTCTTCCTGAGCATCTAGTCTTCCTGTCCACATGCACTTCCCTGTCTTTCCTCCACCTAGAAAAATCCTACCTATGTCTCCTCTTCCTTTCCCAGCCCCACAGGCAGAGTTAATGTCCCCTGTGAGGGGCACCTTCTTTGTCTCCTGGAAAGTACAGTCCCCTGGGAACAGGAAACAGGTCTCCTGCCCATTGCCTCCACTCTGCCACTGGTGCCTGACACATGACTGACCCTTAGCAAAATTTTAATGCACATTTGTTGAATGAATGGGAGATTTGGACATTGTGACTGGTGGAACCTGAACTCTGATGAGAGAAACCAATCGGGTGTCACCTCTTTCAAGCAGGATCTGTGTCCACAGCCCATAAGTCAGCAATGACCCCTTTGCCCCTCAGTGTCCTATCCCAGCGAAACACAAAGTGGGTCTTCAGAGCTCTCCCTATTCCATTAGGTCCATGGGCCAGCAGCATTGGCATCTGAAGCAGAATTTGCATTTTAGCGGGATTCCCAGGGATTCGAAAGCACAAACTGTGTTCCAGTGCCCCAGCAGATGCCTGACCCTGGTTCTTGTTGACAATAATCAATTGCCACACCACCTGTGCCAGGTACTGTGCTGAGCTCCGTTTTCCCATTCTCTCCCATCCACTCCACCTACTACTATTATTATCATTCTGCAGGTGAGGAAGCTGAGGCGAAGGGAGGAACCCAGAAAAAGTACAATTAATTTCTCACAAGTTAATTCATCCAAGCATTCAGAAAACGCTAGGTAGAGTCCCTCTCATGAACCAATTCTCTTACTCCTCATGATCACCTCATGCGGTAGACATCAAATCATCCCCATTTTACAGATGAGGAGTGGGGAAGCTACATCCGGGGTGCGAACCAGGCCACATGGCCCAGGAGCAGCTCATGCTTTGCAATATGCAGTGGCGCAATTAACAAAGGGCTGCTTGCTGGTGCCGCAGGCCTTGAGAGGCCTCCAGCGTTTGTGCGGTGACTGACTTATTGGGGTGGAGAGGTGTTTTAGGACAGAGGGTTTAGGAAATGCCTTTGGTTTTGCTGTCGGCTTTGTTTTGACTTAAGGGAAAGCAAATCTGGCTCCAACAGTAGCCCACACCCTGCCCTGCCAATTTTGTGCCTGGCTCGCCTCACTGGCCCATATTTCATCAGAAAGAAGTGCTGTTCCTCTGGGAGGGGCAGGAGCCCCTGGGGCACAGGTGAGGCTGCCTCTCCAGCTCGGTCTCCTGGACATTACCATGGTCACCATGCATCTCCAGCCTTGGAGCAAAGCAAGAGTATCCCTACCCTTCCAGCAGAGCTCACCCTATTCTCCCAGCCTGGTCCAGGAAAGATGAGAAAAGCCCACTGGGAAGCAGGAGTCATCCACCCCAACTAAATGTGTGAGGCACTTGCAGTGGGTACCTTCTGCATCTGATACTCCAACATTGCAGGGGACTCTCTGTCGCCTCACTTTCTACCTGCCTTTTTCCCTGTTCCTTTCTCCCATCCTTCCTTCCTTGTTTCACAACGTAAGGCCTTTCCTTGCTTCCCCTTCCCTGATCTACCCCAGCCCCCAGACAACAGGAAGTCACATACTAAACACCCGCAGAGGTGAGGGCCACCAGGGCTCGGGCTGGAGTCACATTCTCCACCATGGCGCCCAGAGCCCAGTTGGCTGCCCGCTGGATGAACTCGCTGGTGTTCCCCATCTTCTGGAGCAAGCAGCGGGTGATCTCCTCAGCCTCCTGATCCATGTTCTTCTTCAAGATTTGGAAGAGGTCTCCCAAGGTGCTGATGGCCAGGCGGGACACCTTGGAGCGGAGGTTGGTGACCTTGGAGAGAGAGAGGAGAGGGACCCTCCATGACCACTGGACCCTGAAAGGCTCTGAAACACATGGAGGACGGGGTCTACACTGCCCCTTCCACCACTTTCTAGCTCACCCCAGGCCCCCACCCACACCTTGCCATGCTGGAAATGAAAACCCTGCAATAGTTCTGGGCAAAACAATCCCATCTTGTTACCACTATGACTATCAACTCCTTGATTCTCATTATTATCTGAAATTTGTACAACAATCTTCAAAACTACTGTGAGAAGTAACCAGGTGACATTCATTTTGACATACACAGGAAGACACAGAGCTATAACACGGTTGAGCCATAACTCAGTCCAGCCACATGCGGACACAATGTCCTCTGTATTCATAACCTACCCATCCCACTACAGCAGTCCATTCCCAAGGGTGGGGTTCACCTCCACGTGGGTCAAGTGCATCTTACTTACTGCCTCTCAGGGCCAAGTCCCAACCCCATGAGAAACAGTGGGACAGCTACCTAAAGTTGGGGACTAGGCCCAGAACACTCCATCCCCCTTCAAGCAGTTTGAGTACAGAGGATAACGCAGGCTGTGACAAATGGGTACACAGGATTCCAAATTTTTCAGTTCCCAATGATTACAAGTGAGGAAACCTTAGATCTCTGCATTCCAATGTGAAGAATGAGTGGTGACCTCTTGCCACAGTGACTGTAGACTGAGAAATAAGTAGGAGGGCCCACGTTGCAGGGATTGTGAGCCCCTCTCAACTGTGGTGACACTCACCTTGAACAGCTGCACCAGGGGAGGGGGAGGGTCTTAGGGGATTGGGGCAAGGCACACTTGCTTTCGGAAGGCCTCACCTCCCCAGTCACTGCCAAGGTCACGTCGTGCAGCCTCCCAGCAAGAAGGACCTCTGAGTGGCAGGTCACCAGGCGCTGGATGCTCACCAGACCCTTTTCCTTCATCTGCCTAAGAAGCAAGGCCAAGCCTGTCACAGGTGAGTGAGGAGGGAGAAGCCCCACTCCCTTTGTAGACTAGGACCCATGTTCAGTACAAGCCATCATATGGGACCCCTAGCTGGCAGGTGGCTCTGGCAATATAGAATTGGTGTCCATCCCAGGACCTGTTTGGGTCTTGGACATACGCAGACACCTTCAATAAAGGGCTCTGGCAGTGAGGACTGAAGACAGGGAGGGCTTCCTGCCTGTGTTCAAGACCCCAACTCCTCACTCTCCTTATTACTAAGGTCATGTGTCCCACTAGCCAGTGGGACAAACACTCAGAGCACATTCAACTTGATTTAAAGACATAAAGGACTGTAACCTTTCTTGGTCCCATGTTCTGGAGTCAAATTCCTACTAGCTATGCCTGGCTCTGGCAGGTTGCAGAACAGTGCACAAGGCCACTTGGAGAGACCAAGGGCATGCACAGAAAGTTAGAGACACCATACACATGCACACACACACATATGCACAGGCAGACACTCCTCCCATGGCACCAGTGCCCAGGAGTGGGAGAGGAGGGCATTTGGGGGAAAGGAGCTCTTCTGCAACCAATCTACCTTACCTCCCTACCTCAGGCCACAAGGCACACAAGGAAAGTGTCTCCTCACCAGTCACTGCTATTGAGGCACTGGAGGGCATCTGTCAACCCCAGTTCTGGGTTTGAAAAGGGTCTCAACTCCCTGAAGGCTCTCAGGTCCGTCTCCTCTTCCTCTTCCTCCCATTCAGGAGACCCCAAAGTGAGCACCGCAGGTAAGGAGTTAGCTGCATGTACAAAAAAGAAAGAACAAGCTTCACCCAGGAGGACAGGCAAGTGTGTACCAGTGGCTGTTCCTTCTAACATCCACCATGCCAGGCCTGACCGCAGTACCACCCATCATGCAGGGAGAAGGGAGGGAAAGCTAAAAGCCAGGCCTGGCCTAACTGTCCCTTTTGTTGACTTTCTCCATTCCCACCACTGTCAGCATTATTAAATTATAAACACATTGGCTTGTGATATGCTGCTTGATGTCAGGTGACAAAGTCCACTGCAACTGTGACTCGCTTCCAGTCCTGCCCTGCCTGTGGTTGGAGTGAGACCCAATGAGTCCTTCAATGAAAGACTCCCTACTCACTTTGGTGGTACTCTGAGCTTACTCTCACCCAGGTAAGAGCCTCTGCTGCTTCCCTTCTACTATCCATCCTCATGTGAGACTGCCTGAGCAGGAAAGTGCCCCATGGACAGATGGCTGGAGGAAGGCAAGGAACAGTAAAAAGCACTGGAGGGGACAGTGTAGCTAACCAACACCTACAGCATCAAGATGTAGCCACAGGTGACAGTGGGTAAGAAAGTGATTAAAAACCACTTTCTGTCCTCATGGACAGATGCTAGAATCATAAGACCCTAGAATAATAGGAGGGAATTTCAGAAGCCTAGTGGCTGGGCGACCCACCCACAAGCCCTCCACAACTCCATCATGCAGGCCTCCAACCCAGAGCCTCACTACCATGTCTCACTTCCTGGCAAGCTCTTCCAGAACCCCAGGGATGATTTTTACTCCAGTATTCCAGAAGGTCCAGAAGATATATCTGAGTGGAGAGACGGCTCTTTACTCAAAACCAAGACACTAAGACCCCTTCCTGAATTCTCTCCCCAGCTCTGTCATTGGCATGTAAAATGGTCTCTTAATCAGTTCCAGGTAGGCAGGAGGCAATATCCAACTTCCTGTCCTTTCCAGACACGGACATGAATTGCACACTGTCTTTGAAGCTCTCGAGAAGCTCTCAAGAAGGGACAGAAAGTGTGGTTCAAGTGATAGAGCCTGCCTTTGCCTGGCAAGTATGAAGTCCTGAGTTCAAACCCCAGCACCGGAAAAAAAATAAAAACTACTAAAAGAAGTATTGGTTCATTCAGGGGTATAAGCAAGCCAGCCTGCCACTACCTCATTCCCCAGTGGCATTTAGCTTCCACCTAGATTTTAAAACCAACACACAAAAAGCACTCATAGGGTCCACTCCAGCCCCAGTCACTTAGGGTTTGTGTTACTTTCCCTTTGCCTACCACCTACCTCGACAGTTTTTAATACTGTCCATACATATGTCTTGTGGTCCAGAAATGTCCATTTTTTGCACACACACAAGACAGGAGAAATTGAGTAGACCACAGCCAAGCTCACGTAATCACACCTGACAATGTCTCCTGAGAAAAGCTAGAATCTCATGCTATGTATTAGGAAAATCAGAAGGACAACCCAGTTTACAATTCTGAATTCCATCATTTCCAACCAGACCACAAAGAAGGTGCAAGTGCAAACCACAAGCATCTTAAGTTGGTCGTCAGGAGATAAGAAGATGAGGAGGATGCAAATCCAGCTTCTAGGGAGGTTGTAAAAGGAAAATGCCATCTTTGTTCTGAACTCCAACAATATAACCTACTCCCCATCTACTCACAAATGTACACAGTTTAAAGAAGCAGAGACAGAAACAGACCATACAGGATCATGAGTCATTAGCCAAAGTCTTAATCCTATGACCACCATCACTTCAGGTGACTTTACATAACCTTGGGTCTATGAGTCTCAGTTCTACTGTCTATAAAGGGAGTGTGTTGGGTTAGATAGATCAATACGTCTCAGTATCAATCGTTTAGTTACCACTTTCACCATCTTTTTGCCATATCTTTTAATTGCCTGTACTTTCATTTACTTTTCTTCAAACCTCTTTCCAAATCCTAAATAAATTTATTTTAAAGGGAATTTATGACACTACCACAATGGATAAAGTAATATTATTTGCCAGAGAATATGATATTTATAATAAAAGTAATATTATATTTAAAAACCTTCACTATAAAACTATAGCCAACTTTTGATGTCTTTGAAACTAAATAAGGATTTCTTCATTAAAAAAAAATATGATGGGCTGGGGAGTGGTTCAAGTGGTAAAGTACCTGCCTAGCAAGCACAAGGTCCTGAGTTCAAAGCCCAATACCATCAGAAAGAGAGAGAGAGAGCATGATGATGGTGATGATGATGATAATGACGATGATGATACCAGGTATGGTGACACAAGTCTGTAACCCCAGTACTTGGGAGACTGAAACACGAGGATGGTGAGTTCTGGGCCAGCCTGGCCTTCATAGCAATATCCTGTCTCATAAAATAAAATATAATACAATAGAATAGATTCTAAACATTGATCCCAAATTAAGACTTTCAACTTGAAAGAACCCAAAAGAAAGAATTGAAAAGGGAGGTGAATCAATATTACTTATAGCACTCAAATTAGACTTTAGTCCACCATCATTGTCCACCACATCCCACACTAAAAGAAACTCTGAACCAGATTAGTTATTGTTCAAATTTTTACCAACAAAAACATTTCAAATGAAATCTTGTATGCATTCCCAGTATACAAATAGTGAGGCAAATAGAAACTTCTGTGGTGGAATGGGACAGAGCATCCCCTGGTTCCTTGGCACCTTCCCTGAGGTATCCTAGTAGGATCTATGAATTCCTGAATCCTAGTCTCTGGCCGCCCTGTTCAACCCTGACAGCACAAAGCAATAGGCAGGAATCCAGGTCCTCCCAGGACCCTTTCTTCCTCTTTCTTGTGTTTCCAGCCAGCTCCTTCTTGGCTATTGTTTTCCAGCATCATTGGTCCTGGTGTTACTGATGACTCCCCTAAGACATGCCACACCAGCTGGGCACCCCCTGCCCAGCCATCCACAATTCCAGGTATGATATGGTCATTCCAGGTCCCCAGCCTGGTCCATAAGTGATTATGAGTCCCAGGCACCGTTTCCTCTCCCCAGCAAGGTGCCCTAGTCTGACGTGGGAACTGGTCAAAGTAGAGCAAAGGCAGTCTATATGCCATGGCTTTGAGCCTCCCAAGGTCTCACATGCAGAGGTCTAAGCCCCACCTGAAGCATGGCGGGCAAAGCTGGGCTCTTGCTTGCTGATGGGGATGCTGGGCAGAGAGGACCGGTTGACCCTCTTCCTTAGGATGGTACCGACGCTGCTTCTGCATGGGCTTCTCAGCCCAGTGGGCACAGACGTGCTCCCGCTGCCCCGCAGGGGAAGGAGGCCTGAGGAGGCAGAGAAAGTCCTGGGACTGAGCTGGTACTGTCTGCCCTTGGCCCCAGTGTCCCCTTTAGAAATGGGTCCAGCAGCAGACTACAAGAGAATGGTCACAGTTCCCCATCCAGTCTCAGGATGGTGAGGGTGGGGAGCTATAGGCAGCCTCTCTTTGGGGAGATTGAGAACCCCAGTGTTGGTCAAGAAGCTTCTTCAGTTGGAGGGACTCCCACCCCACGCACCAGTACCTTCCTTCACTAAGGTTCTCCGTGGCCCCAGGCCTTGAGCAGCCAACTCCTTCTTCCTCTCCAGTTCCTTCGCCCTCCGCAACAGCTCCATCTCCTTCAGCTGCTTCAGTCGCATCTTCTCCTGGGCAGACTTGGAGATGGTGACTTGGATCTGGCACAAGGTCAAGGCAAACTCCATTAGCCTTAAGGACCCAACTGGTCTTTCTATGCTTTCATTCATTCAGTCATCAAATACATGGGTGCCCTCCTACATGTGAATGGCTGCTCTGGAAGGGACAAAAATGACTAAGTCCTACCACCCTAAGAGCTTAGGGAATCAGAGCACAGACAACAAACAGGCCAGTGTCTAATGTCAGGCAAAATGTGCTAGAAGAAAAGTAAAGAGACTGAAATGACAGTGGCTTTTTGCTTTATATAAGAAGGCCCAGAAGGGCAGGCATGGTGACTCATGGCCTGTAATCCCAGCTACTCAGAAGGTAGAGGCAGGAGGATCTTGAAGGTAGCCAAGACAAAGTTAGTAGGTTCAATTCCCAGTACTGAAAGAAAAAGAGAGAGAAGGAAGAGAAAGAGACCCAAGAGGGACTCTCAGAGCATTCTGATTCAAATCAGGGACAGAACGCAGAGTACAAGGTCAGGATATGGCAGGATTCATATCTCACTGGGCCTTGTAGTCCACAGCAGGGACTTGGGCTTTTCCACAGAAGGTTTTGAGCAGAGGAGTGACATGACCTTACTTCCATTTGGGGCAGTGGCTTCTCCAAAGGTTGGGATTTTTTTTTAATAACTTTTTATTTTGAAGTAGTTTGAGACTCATCAGAAGTTGTAAAAATAGGACTGAGAGGTCCTGTGTGCCCTTCATCCAGCCTCCCTCAATGATACTATCCTACACAAGCATAGAACATTCCACCTTCCATTTTCTAAGGAGTGTGCTGGCTGCTGTGTGGAAGAGTATAGAGCAGGTAGGAGCAGGGAGAGCCTTTGGGCAACAACAGTACACTCAGGCAAGAGTGGAAAAGAGGAGCCAGCGCTGGTGGATCATGCCTGTCATCCTAGCTACTCGGGCGATTGAGATAGGGAGAATCGCAGTTTGAGTGCAGCCAGGGCAAATAGTTCATGAGATTCCCCCCATTTCCAAAAATAACCAGAGCAAAATGGACAGAAGGCATGGTTCAAACAGCAAAGCATTTGCTTTGTAAGCATGAAGCCCTGAGTTCAAACCCCAGCCCCACCAAAAAGCAAAAAACAAACAAAAAAAGAGTAGAAAAGAGGGGTAGACCGGTATGGTCATGTTTCAAAAGAGTTGATTTTGCTGAGACATGAGAAAAAGGAGTCAGGGATGGATCCATGATTTTTGGCCTGAGCCTCAGGAAGGCTGGAGTTGCCTTTTACTGAGTGGGGACCCTGGAGAAAGAACAGGTTTTGTGAGATGAGGATTCAAGAGCTGAGTTTGAGGTCAGGTAGGCTTGAAATATAATCAGACCCAATGTTGAGCAGCAGCTCAATATGCAAGTCTGGAGGTCAGGAGAAGGTTGGACTGGAGAGGGAGTTTGGGAGTCCTCAGCCTAGAGGTGGTACTTGATGGCATGGACTGGAGGACCTCTTCAAGAATGGTTTAATAGGCCAGAAGCCAGAGGACCAAGCCCTGGGGAACTCAGCATCTAGAGGTCAGGACCATGAGAAGGAGCTGCCTTTCACGGAGGCAGAGAACCAAGAAAGAGCTACCCCCTCCCCTCCATCCCTAGATGGAGATTCAAGAAAGACATGCTTTCAGGTGAGTCGAAAGCTGCTGCAGGGGCCAAGTAGAAGATGTCTGCCTTTGGGAAGGCTAAGGTCGTTGGTGACCTCAGTGGGGCAGTGAGAACTGGAGCTGCACTGGAGTGCACTCAGGAGAGAACAGGGAAACACACGGCAGTCGAGGTTTGCTTTTGTTATATTAAAATGAAAAGGATAACAGAGAGCTAATGTGGTGCTCACAGTGGTCCAGTTTCAGGTCAGAGAGATAACATTCTCCCTGCTGGACACCTGCTGGAGTTGTGCATTGAATGGACTGAGCCGGAACAGCAGGAGATGGTAATGAGCGAATGAGACCTTGGAGTTGGATAATGCGATGGCCTGTGGAATGACCATGGAGTGAATGGCCGAGGTGGACTGGAGGATGAAGCCCTTTCACTGCAGGGAATTACCATGACGATTCGTCTCCAGCTGCTCTCCTTAGAGTAGCATCTGACCCTTGTCACGTTTGCCCTGGAACACCCATCTCTAGCAGTACATGGAACAGGCCTTCAAGATCTGTTTTCCGAGGGGCCCTATTACATCTCCATCTCCAGTGATTCACCAAGTTTCACTAAATGCATCCCAACCAGGGAAGAGAAGCCACCTCCCCAAGGTCACCTTAGAAGTGCAAGGAATTTGTCAGCCTGTCAAGCACAGCTTTGGCCTGTCAGCTGCCTCTCAGTTGCTATCTTGGGGGTTAGTTCAAATTACTCAGTTTGGTTCACCTAAGTCCTCTGGCCTCTCCCTCAGCTTCCTGCTTCCTTCCCACCCATGTGTGACCTTTTTCTGTGCTTCCTCCTCCCCACCACATCCCTTAGCAAACTTCTGCCTCAGCCCTTCCTGGCTCTGCTCTGTTTGCCACTAGCTGGTGCCACACTTGGGCATTTCAGAGACACGGTTGCATTCAGCCAGTGGTCCACTTGGACCCCCTCCTCCTCTCGCTTCCCAGATACCTTGCTGCTAGTCTCCTTCTGGTCCTCTTCTTTCTGAAAGGGGTGAGCTTCTTTGGCATGGCCAAAGGAGAAGGATGTCAGTATAGGAGCAGACTGTGATGAAGCCAGGGGCTTCTCAGGGGCTGCGGTAGGCCTTTCTCTGCCAGGTGGGGCCGAGGGTTTTGGCTCTGTGAAGTCAAAAGGAGGGATGGAACTGAGGACAGCCAGAAAGCACCCCAGGCTGCTGCAGAGCCCACTGACCCTGTAGCTGTAGGATTTTACTGCCCAAGCCCTCCACCCTCAGTTCTCCAGCCTAACACTTGCTTGGTGGAGAAAGTTAGATGTAGTCTACAGAGCAGCATTGGCTGGTATGCATAAGGTCCATATCATCCCCTTCCACTCATTCACTTATTCAGCAATTACCGCATAGCTTATTCTAAGGTGGGGATGGGAGTTGCTGGGCAGGAAACAGGACCAGGAGGAGAAAGGCAAACAGTCCTGCCAATCAATTAATACCACATCAGCCAGCTGGAAGGAGCCAGAAAAGCCACTAACTCTAGTCCAATCTTCTCCTTTCACAGATGGGAAAGCTGAGGCCAAGTAACCTTCAAATGCCCTTGTGATTAATAAAATTCATTCACTTCCAAGCATCAACTCCATCATATCTATTTGTCATTCTACATTTTCCCAATCAGTGGACTTAAAGGTCTTATGGAGACAAGGTGGGGATAGGCTCCTTAATTTTCTCCTGCTCATAAAATTTGGAGCTCACTGTCCTTGGGAGAACTTGCTAATTAGGGGAGTCCCATGGGAGTCCCATGGGATAAGGGCCATGATATGGGGCTGCCTGAGGCTGGAAATGGCATCTGGAGTTTGGGCTCCTATAGAACTCCCTGGTCGCTCAGTCCTCTGCCCAGCCTGTGCCTTCTGGGCTGTAAGTGGCTGTCAGCCTCTGAGACCACTGCCTCTCAGTTGAAACCCTCAGCAGAGGCTCCCTCCGTTTGGGGCAGGGAGAAGGATCAAGGACCAAGGGAAAAGAGGATCTAAGAAGTAAAAGGCAGGGCAGAGGGTATGGGTGGTCGAGGGCAATCTGGCCAGGGTGAGGTTCACAGGAATGCCACACGACTGGGGAAGCCCTCAGCTTGGGCAATGCCCCTGCTATATGCCAGGCATGTTAGACATGTTTGGTAACATCACCCCAGTTGACAGCCAGAGGGACAGTGAGTCCTATAAGGACTTTTTGCATATACTTTCTCCTCTATACCCCCAGGCCCTTTGGGTCTCCAAGCCCAAGCCCCCATACCAGCAGTCTCAGGGGTAGCTCATAAAGGACATTTGGAGCACCACATGTATCACTCAAGGCTGCCCAGGCTCACCCCATGCAGCCCAGCCAGGGAGCAGGGGAAAAACAGCTGCCACCAACAACTCCAGGCCTGTGTCCTATTCAGTAGCCTCTTGGGCAACAGTCCACCCCTCCACCAGCTGTCCCACCTGCTGAGCTGATTAGCTGGTGACCTGCCAGAAAGCTCCCATCCTCCTGCCAGCCAGCACAGCAGCTGCAACCAACTCCCACCACCTAAGGCCTGGGATCAGGGTGCTCCCCTCACCCAGCCTCACTTCCCCTGCCTTACAGCCACAGCTCCACTTCCATTAGCCCAGTCTGTCCACCTCTATAGGGTTGGATCATTCTCCCAACCTCTTTCCTCCTCCTCCTTCCTCTTGATAGCTCCTGCCCTGCCCCCTTCTCCTATTCTCCATCCTGGCCCTGTTCTTTTGACATTTGAATCTGCTGGGACAGGCTGACTGAGGGGTTTGTGGGATATGGTTTAGTGTCTCACTTTCTCCAGTAAGAACAAATCCACTTGCTTAAAACCAAGAAAGAGGTTGCTGCATAGTACATCTAGAGGCCCCGCTCTTCAGGCATATAACCCAAGTGCAGATTTGACAGGGCAGCTTTCCACACTTTAAGCCTTTGTGTGTCCTCTCATATGTCAAACAGGACAGCACCATCACCCTCATCTGGGCCATTGTGAGCTAGGTGAGCTGGTGTGTGTCAACATGCTGGCAAAGCAGGTGCCTTCCTCCTTGCACTTTGCCTCGGCACCTGCTTCCACCCTCCAGCATGGGACCACAGATGACTTTAGCTTCCCTGTCTGCAAAAAAAGATGCTCAGGCACAAGAGCCCTCAGGGCTCCTCCGACCTAACTCAATTTCATGACCCAGTCCAGGAACACGAAGAGTCAAGAACAGGGGGTGCTCACAGAGAGTACATACCCAGAGATTTCGGAGTCTTCTCCTGAGGCCCATTCTCCCGAACCAATCTTAAAAGAATGGGGAAGAAAAAAGCTTGGTGAAAGATAAGCCAGAGACACTGGGGTAAGGAGTCCAGAATGGGGCAACAGTGAGGTGGGACACACAGGGAATGGGGCTGGTTTCCAGGTCAAAGCAGCAGGAAATGCAGCTCCTTCTACAAGCATGGGGTTGCCTTATCAGCCACTAGGCCAAGCCAGGCTGGGAGTCCAGACATAGAGCGTAGCTATTTCCTGGCTGTCCTTGTCATGCGTGTGGCATCCATTCCCCAGGCAGCAGCCTCCACATGGAAACCACTTTTAAATTAAGCCTCTCCCCCCGAAAGCTGGAGGTGTGGCTCAAGCATTTGAGTGCCTGCCAAGTGTGAAGCTCAAGCTGGTCCCAGAGCAGCTAGGACTCTGGACTGTTCCTGGACAACCATAGCCTCTTGGGTCTGGCCCCATCCCAACAGCTTGTGAGGACAGTGAGAGGACCCCAGGGCATCCCTATCTCTGTCTTTGCCATTGGAAACCATCATTGCCCCTGCACTAACAGGACAGAGGACAGGAGAACTGGGGCTTGGATGTTTCTACAGTTGCCCCTGACTCCTTAGAGCTCATAGAGACCTCAGGTTGCCTAAGTGAGTACAGGGTGCAAAAAACCCAAGACCCCTCCCTTTTCCTGGCTCTGACCCCATCCTCTTCATGGCCCCTACTTTTGCCCTGTGGACCTCAAACTGTAGGTGCTTTTTCTCTCCCTCTGAATGAAGGATTTGGCTCTACTTCTTTCAAGCTGGGTTCTTAAGGAGCCTCCTGACTTCTCCTTCCCAAGAAAATCCATAGCATCAAGGCCAGAAGCCAAGACCCAGGACAGACCCTGCCCCAGAGCCTCTACCACTCACCACAAAGTGACCTAGTCCCTCTCTCTCTCTTTCAAGCCACTTTTCCCTATCCTACCAGATTCAGAAAGAGCCTGGCTTGACAGTGGCTCCCCCAACCCCAATAACCTATCTCCATGGAGAGTCCCAGTACTCATCCAGCTACTGAAGCCAGAGCCCCTAGCATACTCAGCTATTCCCTCTGACCCCCACCCAGTCAGTGGCAAGGTGCTGAGGCCAGTTCTCCCTCCCTCACCTGTCCTCGCCACCTAGATCCCCTGCCTCTGCCTCTGCTTTGCTCAGGAGCCTGGAGTTTCTCCTCTTCATTCTCGCCACAGCCTCTGCCTTGGTTTGCACTGCCCACACCACTAACGGATACTATAGTGGCCTTTGAAATCAGAGCTAGTGTCACCTCCACACCAAAAAGACTTCAACAGCACCTCATTCCTCCAGGACAAAGCACATGTTCCTTAGCCACACACATGAGACCTGCAGCCCTGCTCGCCACAGTACAGTGCGCTGCGCACACTCTTTGGAGCTCACTAAATGCCTCCATTATTCTCCCCTGTCTCTCTCTCCTCCATCTTGCAAACTCTCCCTCAGCCTTCAAAAATCCCTCCAAAAAGTCTTCCCAGAGTGACTCAGATCACTTTTCACTGGGCTCCCAGCATATTGGGTAACCTTCCATCTTAGCTCCTACCTCACCTCAATGACTTTCTCATAAATCTCTCTGTGAGCTCCTAGAATGTATGGGCTGTGTCTTACCTTGGTTTCCTCAGGACCTAGCACATAGAATGTGCTTAATAACTCTTAAGTAATGCTGGGAGAGTGGTTCAAGAGGTAGAGTGCCTGCCTAGCAAACACAAGGACCTGAGTTCAAACCCCAGTACGGCCAAATAAACAAATAGCTCTTAAGTGAGTAAAGGGTGGACGGTGAATAAATGAAATAGCAATGGTTCGAACTTCCCACCCATTTGCTAGACAGCCTTGTGGAATCAACGAAGAGAAATCCAAGTCACAGTTGGACAGCACAAGGTGGATATTTACTAAATGACTGGTCCATTGCCAGTCACTAAGCTTGCATTACAGGAACCAGAGACTTTTAAGATACAGGCCCTGGCCTTGCAGTACTCCAAGTTAAAGAACAGAACCAGCTTTAAACAAGACAAAATAAGTAAACAAAACAAAAGAAATAAAATAAATTTAAGTTGCCAAAATGTGTTATTTAAATAGATAAAATAATAGAAGGGAGGAAGTCAGGCAGTCCATGGTTGGATGTCACATAGGCAGTGCAGCGACAGCCATTTCCTGCCCTTGCTACTCGTGAAAGCCAGGGTAGAGATGGAACAGTAGGGGCAAAGGGTAAGAGGACGGTGTTGGAGTACAGGATGGACAAGGAGAAGCACCATCCGGGGAAGGTGAGGCACCTGTTCAGAAAACAATACACCCCTGGAGGGGAGAGAAGATCCTTGCAGCACAGGAGAAAAAAGGAGGAGTTGGGGGTGCTCCCTGAAGGTCAGACCAAGGGGACTTTTCTTGAAGCTGCTGACACCAGGAGGACAATGAACCAAAGGTCCTAGAATAGGGTATTGTGGCTGGAAATGCAAGGGGAGAGTGGAGAACACAGGGCTGCAAGGGCAGGCTAGGAGCTGCTGGGGAGTCAAGGAGAAGCCAGTGAGGACAACTCAGAGAAAACAGCAGAAACCAGAACCAGTGGGAGCTTCTGTGCATTTCTGTTCTCGTAAGAAAGACATGAGAGGGTACAGCAGTCCATGAGGGACAGGAGGCGCTTGGCACTAGAGTGAAAGGTGACACCGAGATTTGAAGACCAAGGCGAATGCCTGTACCTTGATGGAAATAAGGAGGTTCTAGGAGGGGGCAGTTTGGGACAGCAGAAGTCTCCATCTCCCCACCTACCCCCCTATCCCCCTCTGACACTGCTCTTCGTGCACTGGAGCTACCCAGCAAGAGGATGGGCCTCTAGGGAGATTCCAGCGCCAGGAGAGGCGGTGTGAAGTCACCCACATCCATGTGATCCTGGAGGCCCCAGGACAAAACAAGATGGGTCCTGGATCAATTTCTAGAATGGCCAAATTTAAGAGGTGGGTGAAAGAGCATGCAGGAGACTGCCTAGAAGGCCAAGATGAGGAAGGAGAAAAGTTCAAGGGCTATGGACAACCCAAATGATGCAAAAAAAAGCCAAGAGTAATGAGCTGGGAGGAAAGACCACTGGTCTGAAGCCAGAGACCTGTGCAGAGGGGAGTAAAAGACAGGTGTATGAACAGGAAAGGAGGAGGAAATTTCTGACGGTGAGGAAGGAGGCATCTGTGGAGCAGGCAGTGATGTGAGGAGGTGAAAATGGAGCAGAGAATTCACATCCAAGAGCAGGTTCATGGACAGGTTTCCAGACCCCAACAGGGCTGGAGAAACATGGGGACATGGGTATGAATAGAAGAGAAAGCAGCACAGGAGATGGGAGACCCACAGAGCTGGGGAGGAAATGGGAGAAGACAGAATATCAGGCAAAAGAAATGGCAGAGGAGAAGTCACAGCAGGAAGTTCACTGTGAATGCACTAGGTGAACCAGGACCATAAGCCAGCCATGAGGACGTGCACACGCACACTCAGACATACACACGCAGACACATATGCAAGCATAATCTCAGATACATACAAGCATGCACATATATGTGTACACACACATACACATTCACACAAACACAACACATGCACACACTCACAGGTACATATACCACTCAGGCACACACTCTTACGCATTCACGCACACGCGATGACATCAGTCTGTACTGACCACAGAGACGCTGTTGGCCAGCCAGAGAGTACTGCCTTCCTCCTTAAAAGACATAAACCCAGAGTCATTGTAACACGGAGGTTCTCTACCCCACAGAGGCCCAAACTTTTTTTGGACATGAAAAAGTCTAAAAGTTTTGTGGACTACATACACACACACACACACACACACACACAAATGGTTGTATTTTGAGTATCCATCAATTAAGAAAATACAAAGAGCTACCATGGACTCAATGATGATCTAAAATAATTTGTCTTTTATTCATCGCTACAGAACCATATACGTTAAGAGACTGTAGAGGATAGAGCCTGGGACACGTTTGTTATGCCATCACACTCAGCCTGCTGGAGCCCAGGATCAGAAAAGTTCTGGCAACAATACTGAGGTTTTCCTACATCTGTGACTCATGGGCAGGGGGACCCATCCTTTGCCATGCCCAGTGCCTCAGAACTCTGTCTGGCATGGAGGTTCAGCCATGAGGAGGCTGAGGGAAAGAAGACTGCCAAGGTAGGTTCTTACCGTGTGTGAGGGGCCATCGGTCCAGTGAGGATATCCTGGCCTGGAACCAAGGGGCTGGGAAGGGAGCCAGGCTTACAGGAGGAGGTCCCTGCAGGTGTCCCAACCTTGGGGATGGGTGGGATCATGACACCTCCCAACGACTTGCTCATCTTCTCGTCATTGCAATGCAGGTATTGTGGGGAAATCTGCACCTGGGAGCAGAAGAGAGTTCTGGTCCACAGGAGCAACCTACATTGAGTGCTTAGCTCCCAGGCACCTCATGCAGGGTGGCTCCCTCCACAGTGCCACCTGGGGGTGGGGAGGAGCTAGGAAGTGACCTCTGGTTTCCTTTTCCAGGTACACAACTCTGGACCCTCCACCCCCAAAAGCTCATTGCTTTTTTCCACTCCAGGTGAGACAAATGTCAAGATTTTTTTGTTGTTTTTAATTGCTATTTGGAATTTTTTGTCTTCTCACTTCAGAAAACCTCTAGCACATTAGAGCAGGAAGGGACCCTCCCAAACAACTGACCCAAACCACTATTTTTAGAGATGTGCAAAAGGGGGCCCAGGGAGGAGAATGACTTGTCCAAGGCCACACAGCCAGTGAGGGTAATCCCCACCCAGCATTCTTTCCCTTCTGCCATACTCACTGACTTGCAAAGGAGAGGGCCAGAAAGCAGAAGGAAACCTGGAACATTAAGATCACAGATGGCCTGGGGACCCCTGATTCATGACAGGTCGTCATGCAGCCTCTGTACCTCAGGGGCAGCCACCCAGACTCCCAACTACAAAGGTTTGGAATGCTGTGGGAGGAGGTGAGCCTCTCCCAATGTCACCCCCATCCTTAAGGGCAGTCCTTCCACACATGCAGAGATGCATGGGGCATGGGGGCGAGGGGACTGGTAAAGGATGGAAAGACAAGGACATCTGGAGGCAATCTCAGAGCAGTGGAATCGCCTTACCTCCTGGGCTCCAGTTCTCAGCTCCTGGGGAGCCTGCTGGCTCTTGGGTTGGTCCAGGTCCTTCCCCTTAGCTCCACTGGCCTCAGGGGTGGTGGGTATGCTCTGGATGGGAGGCATTGGTCTGGGCACCCTCAGTAGCCTCTGTGAGGTAGTGCGGGGGATGGTGCTCCTCAGAGGAATTCCTTTGGGGCCTCCACCAGGATCCAGAGAGGCTGTCCAGGGTAGAGTAGGGGATGGGGAGTGAGGAGGATACCCATGCTACTCCAGGGCCTATGTCCTACAGAGGGCTGGGATGATGAGAGGAGACAGCTGATCTGCCCCCAGATCCATACCTACCAAGACACTGAGCAAACAGATGGTGCCACGTGTCCTTTTCCATTCCTATAGAATTTGGTAGAAATGACAATCAAATTCACCCACTCAAAATTCAGTGTGGGTAGGAAGGAAGACAAAGTCAGTGCAAGGTTCAGAGAAAGAACAGCAGGTTCCAGCCCTGGATAGAAGCTGTGTGACCTGGATAGAAGCAAGTCTGACTCTATCTGCCACTTTGTAAAATGAGGTATTCACAAAAACCTGCCTGGCACTGTATTTCATGCCTGTAATCCCAGCCGTTCAGAAGAGAGAGGCAGGAGGATCTTGAGTTTGAAGCCAGGCCAGGCAAAGTTAGCAAGATCCGCAAAAATAAAATACAAAAGCAGAAGAACTTGGGGGCATGGCTCAAGTGGTGGAGTGTTTGCTTAGCATGTGTGAGGCCCTGGGTTCAATCTTCAGTACAAAAAAAGACTCAGTGACACCGCTTACATAAAAATACCAGCTAGAACCCAGTACATGACAGGGACAGGAGCCAATTGATTCCTTCTGTTCCCCTTCTTTTTCAGCTAATGGTGTAGGGGTACAGCTGTTTTGACACCTTTAATATAGCCTAGAAGACAGATTATCACACTTCTGGCCTTTCCATTAATACTTTATGAATCCAGACATCCTCAAGCCTCCAGTGCTATCCTGTCCATACTGCAGCATCTCCCTTAGCAGGTGCTCACCAACCAACCCCAATGGACCACAGCAAGTCAGCTGGACACCTGCTGATCCTCACAACCTGGGTGGCTGGAGTTCCTGACCTCGGGGTGGGTCAGGGATGGGCAGCAGGGCCAGGCTCACCTCTCGAAGATGCTGCCATGCCCTCCGACAGCCTCCTCTTCTTGAGCTTATCCTTGATCTGAATGGTGTCCCGAGCCACACTGTTGGCCTCTGACTCCAGTGAGAGGACGGGTGCCAGGGGGTGGAGCCCCAAAGGCAGAGCTCCAAGGTTCCTGGGGTGGCCATTTCTTGCCTGCCAGCTCTTCAAAGGGTCATCCAGTTTGAGACTACCTAGGTCCCCATGTCCACTCAAGAGCTGTGATGGCTTCTCATTGCTCAGTAGGACAGTCGGTGTGGGATGGAGGGAGGCTGAAGGACACAGAGGCACAAGTGGATTTACACCCAGGGCCCAGGATGCCACTAGGCCCAAACAGACTCATTGGCATTGTTCCTCAGAAGCCAGCCAGTTGCCTGACAAACCCCAGTCATTCAGTCTCTGGATCCTTCTGAGGGGCAAATTATTCATCAACAGTGTCTATTAAGCACCTGACCTGCGGTGTCATGAGGTCTTCGGGGAATAAAAAGAGGAATCAATGTGCAGCCCTATCACAGCACAGATGAGAGACCTTAAAAACTTAGGAAAGGCCACCTGCCTGGGGAACCACATCAACCAAGCTCCAGGATCCTACAGATTCATTCAGTACTATTGAGCATTGATTACACCAAAAACAGATGGAGACGTTAGGTGACCCAGAACAAGTAATGCTCACATCAACCAGCATTTAATAGGCGCCTGGGAGGTGCTGAGCCCATCCAGGTAGTGGAGGTAGAGAGCTAAGTGAGGCACAGTCTTTGTCATTAAGGGACTTAGGATCTGTTAGAGGAATAAGATATGTTCATAATGGTTTCTGTACAAGATAAATATGAGATGTGCCATAAGGGATAGAAACAAAACGCTTGGTGCACTTAGAGGTTTGGAGGGAGATCTGGAAGGCCTTGGTGAAGGGGTAGGGTGCGAGCCCTACAGCTCCTCTAGGAGTGCCTTGACACAAGCCCTGAGCCCCTCCCTGGTGCCCAGGCCACTGATACTGAACTGCATTTGGCACATGACCCAAGGAGAGCCAAACTCCAGGTCAGCCACAGGCAGCAAGGGGGCTGGCCTGAGAGAGGGAAAGTAACCAGAGGCATCAGATTCTCCATCCAGAGTGATGGCACAGGACCGCCTGCTGCTGGAGCCAGAGAAGAGAGTCTCAGGACAGAGGGCAGAATGGAGAAAAGTGCCACTGCAGAGCTGCAGCACTAGTAGTGCCTACCTCTGGCCATCCCAATGCCCTCGTGAGCCCCAAAGTGCAGGCCCTGCCTCCCCAGGGCTTGTGGGACTCCCCCAGGTTCCCAGGAGAGCCAGACAATGTGGACAGTCTATTCCTGGGATCTCCCTCTGTATATCCCCATCCCCGAGTCACAGGGCTGAAAGGCTGCAGAAAACCGAAAGGTGTTTTAAGCAGGGCCACAGTAAAAACAACGCCCACTGTAGCTTGGGAACGTCCAGTCATCCGGGCACCCTCATTTCGTCCTCCATGCTGGGACCAAGTTCATACCCGTGGTCAGTTGCCAGGAGTCCCATCAACCCCTGCCAAAGCCTTCAGAGAAGCCACCAGGACTCTCATAGTTTGTTTGGTATGGCTGAGTCACCAGGCCAGGTACTCCAATCTTACCTTCACCACAGGCCGGCAGACAGGAGTCTATGCTTCCAGGTGGGGGCACTCGGGACCCAGCACTGGTTCGAGGGACACTCCCACAGTACACAGCCACTGGAGCTAGAACCTTGGCTAGGGACAGAATCACAGGAAAGCCACACCTTAGAGTCCTCTGAACCCAGGACCAGGGCACAGACTGAGATCCTGGCCCAGTTCCCATACCAGAGGCTGGCCCACAGATGGTCAGTTCAGATGCCTGCCATCTCCACCAAATCCTACCAACCCTGTGCCCCAACCTTTCAAGCAGCACTCCACACACACCCCCGCCGCAACCTTCACACTGCCTACTCCCTCTCTGCCTGCTTTCTCCCTCTCTATCTGCTTTCTCCCTCCTGGCTTTGTGGCAACCCCCAACCCCAGTCATGCATTTTCTGTCTCTCTGGTAAGCTCCCCTCCTCCCTTAACCAACAGCGCTTATGTAGCTGTGCACGGCCCTGCCCTTACTGCATATCTCACACTCACAGCTCTTATGAGGCCACCTCCTCACTGCCACACACTGTAGAAGAAGGGGTGCCTACCCAAGAAGCCCTGCCTGAGCTCCTGGATGCAGAGCATCCCATTGCCTGGCCACCCAACTCTCTTGGGAGTCCTCAAGCACCTCAAAATCATGCCCCATGCTGGTCTTTATCTTCCCTCCCAAGTCTCCCCAGCTCAGTATGTAGATCTTCATTCCCACTTCATATTCCATTAGTGTCTGCTCCAAGCAGGGGCTCTGGCCTGCCACACAGTGGGAGTCATTCTGACCCAACCCTCAAGGAAACTGGAAGTCCAGTGGCAGGCAGAGGACAGTGAGGAACAAGCAGTGACAGCCCTGGACCTATGAATCCTAGCCAGGGACCAGGATGGGGAATGCTTCCCAGATGGGGACAACATTGAGCTGAGGCCAGATCAGGACCCAAGAAAAGAGGCGGGGGCAGCTCAGCTAAGGGATCTGCTCCTTTAAGAAGCCTTTCCCTAGCCAAGCAGGGTAGCACACACCTGTAATGCCAGCTACTAGAGGATCATGACTGGGCAAAAAAGTGAGACCTTATCTGAAAAATAAACTAAAGGAAAAAGGACTGAGGTGTGACTCAGGTGATAGAGCACCTGCCAAGCAAGCGTGAGGCCTTGAGTTCAAGCTGCAAAGAAAGAAGGAGGAGGAAGAGGGGGAGAAGAAGTCTCCTTTCCCCCCTAGTATCACAGCCACAGCCACATCTCCACCTGCTCCTCCCCAGCCTCTCACTCCTATCCTGCTATGTGGTTTCCTCAGTACCTACCACTTAGTAGACATTTAACAGACATCAGTCCTAAACTCTCTTGGCTCAGCCTCTCCCAAGGGCCCCTAACCAACCAGAGAAGCCCCCACACATGTGGAAATCCAGCCTGCCCACCCAGGCTGAAAGATCCTAAGACCAGGACTCTGGAGTCTGCATTCCCAGTTCTGATCCTGTGTGACCTTGAGGAAATAAGCTAACCTCTCTGATCTCAGTTCCCACCTCAGTAAAGCAGAGCAGTCAGGCCGCACCAGGCATTCATACAACAGCATCTCCAGTCTATTTCTAGAGCTATAGGTTTTTCTTTTTTTTTTTTATTTTATTATTCATATGTGCATTCAAGGCTTGGTTCATTTCTCCCCCCTGCCCCAACCCCCTCCCTTACCACCCACTCCCCCCTCCCTCTCCCCCCCCTCAATACCCAGCAGAAACTATTTTGCCCTTATTTCTAATTTTGTTGTAGAGAGAGTATAAGCAATAGTAGGAAGGAACAAGGATTTTTGCTGGTTGAGATAAGGATAGCTATACAGGGCATTGACTCACATTGATTTCCTGTGCATGGGTGTTACCTTCTAGGTTAATTCTCTTTGATCTAACCTTTTCTCTAGTTCCTGGTCCCCTTTTCCTATTGTCCTCAGTTGCTTTAAGGTATCTGCTTTAGATTCTCTGCGTTAAGGGCAACAAATGCTAGCTAGTTTTTTTAGGTGTCTTACCTATCCTCACCCCTCCCTTGTGTGCTCTCGCTTTTATCATGTGCTCAAAGTCCAATCCCCTTGTTGTGTTTGCCCTTGATCTAATGTCCACATATGAGGGAGAACATACGATTTTTGGTCTTTTGGGCCAGGCTAACCTCACTCAGAATGATGTTCTCCAGTTCCATCCATTTACCAGCGAATGATAACATTTTGTTCTTCTTCATGGCTGCATAAAATTCCATTGTGTATAGATACCACATTTCTTAATCCATTCGTCAGTGGTGGGGCATCTTGGCTGTTTCCATAAATTGACTATTGTGAATAGTGCCGCAATAAACATGGGTGTGCAGGTGCCTCTGGAGTAACCTGTGTCACAGTCTTTTGGGTATATCCCCAAGAGTGGTATTGCTGGATCATATGGCAGATCTATGTTTAGATTTTTAAGTAGCCTCCAAATTTTTTTCCAGAGTGCTTGTACTAGTCTACATTCCCACCAACAGTGTAAGAGGGTTCCTTTTTCCCCACATCCTCGCCAACACCTGCTGTTGGTGGTGTTGCTGATGATGGCTATTCTAACAGGGGTGAGGTGGAATCTTAGCGTGGTTTTAATTTGCATTTCCTTTATTGCTAGAGATGGTGAACATTTTTTCATGTGTTTTCTGGCCATTTGAATTTCTTCTTTTGAGAAAGTTCTGTTCAGTTCACTCGCCCATTTCTTTATTGGTTCATTAGTTTATCTATGCTATCTCTTAGTTGCTGTGTTGCTGGGGTTTCGTTGAGAAAGTTCTTACCTATACCTACTAACTCCAGAGTATTTCCTACTCTTTTCTGTATCAACTTTAGAGTTTGGGGTCTGATATTAAGATCCTTGATCCATTTTGAGTTAATATTGGTATAGGGTGATATACATGTATAGGTTTTTCTTAAGCCACCAGCACCACTCTCCTCCCAACTAGAATCTAATGCCCAGTGAGCTCTGATTCAGTCCTGAATGACACGTTGCTTTCCTATGTCAAAGCTCAGGGTGTCCGGCCCAAGCATCACACCTGTCTCCTGAGCTGCTCTGCCTGGGTCATCCTGGTTCTCTACCTTCCTTCCAAAGGTCATCTGACCCCCTCCACTACCCCTCCAGAGTTAAACGCTCTGCTCCAGGGATTAACACCCATTTCACCTGGGACAGGAAAGATTTCCCTCACTTTCCAGAGGAAACCAAGGCTCACACAGCTGGTTCCCCAAAGGCAGAGCTAGCCCTGAGTCACATCTCGTGACCCTAGGTGGCTACATACAGTTTTCACTCCCCTGCCTGGCCTCGCTCCCCAGGCTGTCCCATGCCACAGCCCTACAGTTCCTGCCTGTCCACATGCTCCCTGGTCCACCGCTCTTGATGACATAAACATCTCAAGCAGCATCAGAGAATAGATGCAAAGCCCAGGTCACTGTGCCCCTGAAGGTCAGGAATATATTCGGACCACCAGCCAAGCCTCATGTCACCACGTGGAAAGCCAGCAGGGTGGGAAAGGCATGGCCTCCTTGGCTGTATCTCCCAGAAAGAGCACGAGCCCTGGGAGTGTCTGAGGAAGGTCTGGCCTTCCCTGGTGCCCTTACCTGGGGGCACATCGCCACGGGTTCCCATGCCCCAAGGGAAGAAGGTGCCCAACAGGCTGTCTGGAGGCAGCAGCTATGCTTGGGCTATGAGTGCTGGCCTCAAGAGTCAAGAGGGTTCTGACCTGTGACATCCAGGGACCTGTGGCAGTAAAAATGAGAAACAAACACTTAAAACCACGAGCCCACTGGAGCTACAGCCTGGCTGTAGTGAGGATGGACCCAGGATGCCTCAGTGTCTTTTCTGACCTTCAGACTCTCAGACACTTCAAAGTTTCTAAGTCCTGAGATGACTGGACCTTGGGGGAGAATTCATTAGGAAGAGTGCCTTTGAAACCCAATCAACCTGTCATCTCTTGTCACTTGGACCTGGACACCTTTAGAGTTCCAGGGAAAGTAGAACTCTGACACTTTTTTCCTTCTGCTTCTATTTTCTTTCCAAGCCCTTCACTTGGCCAGCTGTCTAAGAGCTAGCTCCTGATGACCATTGAACCAAACCCCCCAGGTTTCTTTTAGGTGGCCCTGTGTAAATCAGCAGGAAACTCTTGGCCCTCTTTCTCACCACCTTGAATAAGCCAAACCATTGTCCCCCTCAGCCCTCTCATTTCCTGTGACCTTCCAAGCCCCACCTCACCTCCCCTAAGCCTCCAGGGTCAACCATCTTCTCTTGCCTTTTCCTATCTTCGTTTCCCTTGTGAGACAGGTCTCACTACAGGCTCTGTAACTTCAAAGTTTTCTGAATTCTTGGCTGAAATAAGGGTGACGGGTCAGGAAGGTTAAGGCAGGCTAAATAAAGAGTCTCCCAGTTTCTACTCCAGAGAGAAATTCTCTCCAGACACCATCTAGGGAAAGGCCAGGACACTGTGCCAACTTCCTTTTGTTGAGCAACAAATCCCAACTCAGGAACTGAGAAATCTGCCTTCTGCCACAGGCCCCACCCTGGTCCCAGAAGGCACAGCAGCACCTAGCAACTCTCTAGCCCAACAGGTTGCAGCTCAGCCAGCTGCCCCAGCCCAGCTGTGTCCCAGCTCAGGTGGGTCCTGGCTGTCTCCTTGCTTAGCACCCCAAACCACTTGGGTTCTCTGTCTAAGGAGAGTTTTCCTCAGGCAACCCCCTGTCAAGTGACTACCAGGAGGATTCAACCCAGCCAGGTGCAGTGGTGCACACCTGTAGTCCCAGTACTCAGGAGACTGAGACAGAAGGATTGTGGATTTGAGGCCGAGCTGGGCTGCATAGCAAGACCGTGCCTCAAAAAGGAGGAGGAAAAGGAAGAAGAGGAGGAAGAGAAGGAAGAAGAGGAGGAGGAGGAGGAAGAGGAGGATGAGGAGGAGGAGGAAAAGGAGGAGGAGGAGGAGGAGGAGAGGAGGACGAGGAGGAGAAGGAAGAGAATTTGCCCACCTCCTAGTGAAAGCAGCCATGATTGTCTGTGAGACACAGCACTTCTCCCAAGTGTGGAAGATTCTATTCCACAGTGACCAACACCCAGAAAGCTGGGAAACAGGCTCAAGAGGTTGGTAAGTCCATGGAATGTTCTATGGCTGAATTAAAGCCCACAACCTGAGGTCCAGGACTTTGGGGCAGCAAGAGTTGCCAGCCTCACCTGCTACCCATGTCTGTAACCAGAGGATCCATTTTCCATGAAAATTCTAGGTGGAAAAGTAATGTTTAGCTACAGTTCTGTTCTTAACCATGGCAGCAAATCAGAATCTCCTGGAACTGACTGAAATTACAGGTTCAGACTTCCCTGCCTCAGGGCCCCACTGAATTAGAATATTCTAGAACCCCAGTAGGTGCAAGGACCTGCTTTTTGGTTTTGTTTTGATTAACCTCTAAATGATTTTGATGTTCAAACAGCATTAAGAACCACTAGGCTATAGTTCAGACTCATTCAGCTCTTTTTCCCACTTTAGCTGTCAGAGTAGTTCTTGCTGCCTCAGTTTCCCCAAATTGCTCCCCTCTAGAAGGCTAAAGAGACAATTTGGAGTTGCCTGAGAGACTGAATGCATAAGATTCCATGGCAACTGCCTCTGCACTGGGTCTTCAGACCCGCACTGCCTCCCTGACACACACCTCCTCGCATCCAGATGTCAACAGGCAGAGGCAGCCTCCCATTCCTCCACCACCTCAGGGATACCTGAGTACAGAAAGGAGACCTGGAGCCACTCCCTAGTCTGCCAAGGCGTCCCATCAAGCCAAGCCCCTTTGAGTCCCTGTCCCTTTGACGCTTCAGGCCCTAAGCATCCAAGAGCAGGCTCTCCTAGGCTCCTGCCCAAGAGGAGGTGGTCACAGTGGCTTATGGACAAACAGCTACATCCTGTGTGAGAGCCATGAGTGTCACCTCCCCAGGACAATCACTCAGACCTGGGCATGGGGGGCACGCAAGGATCCATGACCCACCACGAAAATCAGAATAAGGAATTCCAGCACCCAACCCCTAAGGCTCAAATCACTGAGGCCCCTTTTGTGCTGGCCACTGCTCTGAGCATTAAGCTGTTACTCTGCCTGCTAGAAGAGCCAATCCTTGACCTAAATGGCTAAACAAGTCACAGACTCTGGTGACCAGGATTTCGTCCTCACTCTTCAGTGCTCCACATCACCGCAAATGACTGACTTCTCCACTCTCAGCCTCAGTTTCCCAGCTCAGGGAACAGGAAGGCCATGAAAGCTATGGTTACAGAGGTTCCATGGTGACTGGCACCACAGAAATGAAGCTGGGTGACAAAAGGAAGTGGAAGTTTCAAGTGGAAGGAAACAAAGCTAGAATTGAGGCACTACAATGGCAGCCCCAAGGACAAAATCCAGCCACCTTGTGCCTTGCACAGCCCAACTTGCTCCCAAGGGAGCTGGGTAGAGAATCATCCCCGAGAAAATGGTGCAGGCAAGAGGGCAAGGAAAGGGCTCTGAGACGGGGACATGCACTCACACAAATGACAAACACTCACACCAACTTTAACATCATGATGGGCCAGCTGCCCACTCCCGCAAGACAGGCCTGGTGACACAGGTGCCCCTCCCACAAGGAGGAGACATGTGTGTACAGAGCAGGAGGCTCAAACTAGAAAGTCTCTTTGACCTCCTCCAGCTCTCACTGAGAGTCCTGTTCCTAAGTGAGAGCTGACTATCGCACAAGCAGCAGGAATGAAGTTCATTGTAAGGTCAAGTGCAGTCAATGAATATTCCCTGTCCCTCCAGAAAAGATGAGTGAATGTTCACTGTCACACAAAGTGGGACAAGCAGACATTCACTGGGTCAGCAGATGGGACCAATACCTCTGTTGCATAGGTGGGCACATGGGAAGCCAGCAGGCTGTCTGATGAGGACACCTGGCAATGCCCCACAGAGGGCAGCATCTTTGCTGGGCCAGGAAGAATGTACAATGTCATTTTGTAGGAACTAGGAAAGGATTCCAGGCAGAGGACACAGCCTGAGCACAGATGCAGAGGAACTAAGGCCCCTGGGGTCTGGCCAGAGGCCTGGCCTAGGAAGGTGGGTGAGAGCCACATGGGAACCCTGGAAGGCTCTGCAGAGTCTGGCTTGTTCTGCAGCCCCAGACGGCTCTAAGGGAGAGGAATGAAATCATCCCACCTATGGTCCATGCAGACTCTCCAGTGGGCCCCTAGAAGGACCTAGGAAAGCATAGGTTTTGATGGAATCTAAGGACTGAACCACAGAGACCCTTAGCCTGGGCTCTAGACAAGGCCCAGAAAATAAACAACTGAACCAAGTTGCACCACAGCTTCTAGGCAGGGTGCAGACTGACAGAACTCTCCTTCCTGTGTCCTGTGCTTTCTCCCTGAAGGTGAGGAGCAGTCACTCCCCTCTCATCATACACACCCTGTACCTCTCACCTACCTCTGTCCCCATGGGAGGCAGCCCAGTCATACGCCCCTACATAGAGTCCTGCTGGACTCTGACCTCCAGGGTCACAGGAAGTCTGAGGCCCACTCCCTCTGCCATGTGGCAGTTAGCAAGATACAAAGGTGAGTAAGACTAAAGCCCAGCACCAGGGAGCTGTGTGACTGCAGGCACATGGCTGAACTCCTCTGAGTCCCAGCTTCTTTAGCTGCAAAAATGGAGATAATGCCTGTCTTACTTCAGTATCATATTCAGTACAATGAGACCATCACTTAATACTGTCTGGCCCCTGGTGATTAATCAGTACAATTGCATTGGTATAACTGCAATCAGCAAAGCCACAGCAGTAGCAGGTGGATTGTCTTGTGGGGACAGGGCAGGAGCTGTGGAAATAATCCTGGAGAGAGGGACTGAAACTCTGATTTAGGGCCATGGTGGTTCTGATGGGGGAGGGGCAGTGCTGAGAAACACAAAGGAGGCAAGTCAACAGGACTAGGTTCTGATTGGATGAGGGTGGTTTCTGGGGCCGAGGGAGAGGAGCCTAGATTGAATCCAGAGTTCTGGTGGGGGTGGGAGGTTGGGGTACCATTCACTGCCAAGATAGTGAATGCAGGAGCAGGTGCTAGGCCAGGAGAGACTCTCAGTCCTGGTTTGGGTGGGATAGTTTGTGACTCATCTGGGAGACCCAGGTAGACCTGGAAAGCAGCTGGTCTGAGGCTCGAGAAGGAGACTGGGGGGAGACCATAGGTGTGGAAAACCCTGTAGTCAGACAGCAATGGAAACCCCGTGGATGTTGTCTGTAAGGAAATCTGGCTGTGCTGGGACTCCCAGAGCCAGGGAACAGCAGTGATGGGCAGATGGAAGCTCTGAGGGACTCAGGGAGAGGACAGTCAGGGAGGCCAGGTGAGTGGAGAGGGGTTAGAAGTGTTAACCCAGAGAAGAGGTGTAGGAAGGGAAGAACCAGGAAGCCCACTATATATGGCAATCCAGTGTTTCGGTAAGAACAATCCGCATTTGGGGACAGAAAGTAGCTATGGCTGAGGAGCACATATAAGGTCAAAAGTGGACACGGGCTGGGTATGGTGGCAAACTCCTGTAATCCCAGTACTCAAGAGGCAGAAGCAGGAGGATTAAGGATTCAAAGCCAGCCTGGACTTCAGAGCAAAATTCTGTCTC